ACCTCCCAACAGATCATGTGAGCTGTAAGCAAGGCCACACAGCATGCAGGGCCAAGTAGGAGGGGCAGTATCTGCTTCAGCTGCTGATCACATTTTGTCTGCTAGTTTAGGCTCTGAAAAGTAACCTTTGCTGATGTCTTCCTGGCTCTGGTGAATAATCCTTGTTGGCTGGGTTTTGCCAATTTAACCATCCAGGATATACAAGTGCTGAAGGGGGCAACTAATTAAAAACAAACTGGTGGTGGCAGAAGAGGAAATTATCTGAGTCAAATGCCCAAAACCTTGTAAAAGTTATCTTGGAATGAGACAACTAAGGTTTGGAAGATATGTACTCTAAAGTTAAAATCACTTTCCCCTCAGGCTTGTGCAGGAATGTTTTAGGAGAAAAGAATGAGACCATTTATGTGTCTTACACTTTACAGAATTCCCACAGTTTGCAAACCAAAATCCTGCAGCTGCTACAGGAGCACGTGCCAGGCCAAGCTAGTTAGCAGAGAGTCTTCATGTCTCCTAGTGCTATCCTCCTGCTTCTTTTGCTGCTCTGTGGTCCTAAAATGTCTGTCTCCTCAAGTGACAGCAATTGGCCACCACCACTTTTTCCTCTGATCCTATCAGGTGGTTCTTTTTGAGTCACACCTTCTTTCAGACCATTGCAGTTCCTCTTTCCTCATAAATTAGATTCCTATGAGGAGTAAGAGGAGATTTTTATGTCTAAATATGTCTGCCAGGCACTTTAATACCCCTTCCATACCTACACCTCTGCTTACCTGCCTTGGACTCAAGCCTGTGCTGGACAACAAAACATGCCAAGATATTCTTTCCTTGGTCCACAGACAGAAGAGAGACCAGAGTTAAGGGAAGCCTCTGTTTATAAGTATTCGTTAAGAAGAGCAGGACATTAGGTCTTCTGTTGAATGAAGGTTCTGCCTCAATTACTCTATCAGTGAAATCTATTGGATTAGCTGAGACAAGAACTTAAAGCTATATGGGGAGGGGTAGTATTTTAAAACTGGCTTCAGAGGAGATAATCTAATTCTTTGTGAGCCATTGACAGTTTCTAGTGTCTTGAAGAAACATAGCATAATGGGATCTTAATAAGGAGAACTTCTGTTTGGGACCAACCAAAATATGTTGTCCTCCTTATAACTTCTGAGCCGTTCTAGGTGGATTATTCCCAACCTATAGTCCATGCAGTGGGTACTCTCAGTACAATTATCTTAAAGAGTTTCTCTTAAGAGTTTTTACTGGGTCTTTTAAAAATACAACTGGTGAAAATTAGTATTTTGAGTTGTTAAATTTGAGCAGGATCTACAGTACCTCCTACTCCATAAGAATTGCAACAAGTCTAAACATTGTGAAAACAGTTGCTGTTTGAACATTTTAAAAAGGACATATTCAGCCACTGGATTAATTTTTCTGGCTTAATTTTGTAAAACATACAACATCTATCTAAGATTAAAAAAATAGCTGCCCTGTTGTCAACTCAATCAAAATTCCTCTCACTGCCATTGTAGTAAACAGATTCTCTGCAGTGTCTCATCACTTGCAGATACAGAAGGCATGCAAGGCATGCTTGCTTTCCTTCATATAAGGCAACAAGAAGCAGTTTGCTTCTGACCATTTTAGGGGGGAAACCTCCTTCAGCTGGCAGACTTCAGAGCAGACTAGAATACAGCCTCCTGCTACCTCCCTTCCCCATTTGACCTACTTACCTACTAATAGTCCCGGAATTCAGGCTGTAATGAATTTAGTGAAAGTATTCCTTAAAAGTGCATTTGTGTGCCACCACTACTACCAAGAATGTAGACAGTGAGTGCCACCTACAGGCCTGTTATTTAAAATTAAAAGACTATCCAAAACTGTTTTAAAAAGAGATAAAGGGAGGTTTGTTTATTTGTTTGCTTGTTTTGTAATCTTGTTTTCTTCATATCAAGACTTACCATGTGAAATAACCTCAGTCAGATGTTTTTTACAGGAACAGCCTAGATTTTTTTAATGCACCGGGATTGTGGCACAGCAAGCTGAGTGTCAGCTGCATTAAGATCACTCTGACCAAAAGGTCATGAGTTCTAAGCCAGCCCGGGTTGGAGTGGGTTTCCAACCAATTTTGTGTAGCCTATTGTCGACCTTTGCAACCCGAAAGACTGTTGCATCTGTCAAGTAGGAAAATAAGGTACCACCTTAAAGTGTGGGGAGGCTAAATTAACTGATTTATGAGGCCATAAAGAAGACTCCAGCAAAGCATTCCAGCGGGGAAGCATGCGGGAATGCGGAAGTGCTTCATCAGAGAGGGACGATGAAAGCGACAGCTCCCCGGCGGCCAGAAAAAGTTTAAAAAAATAGCCTCTGTCTATGTCTGTATATGTTTGTATGTCAAAACTGGCATTGAATGTTTGCCATATATGTATATATGTTTGCCATATATGAGTCCCTTATGAGGTGAGAAGGGCGGAATATAAAAGCTGCAAATAAATAAATAAATAAGATCAAAAGTTCTTGCCATGAATTACAGGTATTGTTACACAAGTATGCTAGGCTAACACCAATGAAATAGACTGTTGGACAGAATTATGCTAGGCTAACACAGATATGGTAGCCCAGCATAATTCTGTCCAATAGTCTCTTTCATACCACCCTTAGCATTCTGATGTGGCTTAACCTGATTTTTGTGCTAACATAAAACAGATTTTTAATTTAAGAAGAATTAAGATGGAATCATGGTGTTGGTTTAGACTTTTAAAACCCTACATGGTTTGGGTTAAGGTTACCTAAAGGACCACCTTCTCCTATACAATCTGCCCCACACACTGGTCTTCTTAGAGGCATCTGTTCCAACCAGCCAGAACACAACTGGCAACTGCCACCCAGAAGATATTTTCATTGGCCACCCCAGGACTGTGGAACAACCTGCTGATAGAGCTCTGACAGCCATGTAAAGACCCATCTTTTCTGGCAGGCTTACCCAGCCAGTCTTTAAGCATGATTTTTTTTTAAAAAAAATCAATATTTTCAATATATATATAAATAAAATCAAAGGAGGTATTGGAAGTACAGGATAGGTAAAACAGAGAGGATGAGTCACAGGGGTTACTACTCTAGGGGTATAGCTGAGATTTCCGGGAATGCTGGGGATAGAAAGAGGGAGGAAGGAAAAAAGAAGGGGAGGGGGAGGTGAAGGGAAAAGTTGGTGTCTTCCAATCTTCCTCTTCATGTTCAGTTACTTTTATTTTCATCTTTAATGTGTTTCTCCTTTTCTTTGCTTTTTATTGGTAGTATCTTCCATGGGTTTACCAAGTACATTCGTATTATTATTATCATCTCTCTCTCTCTCTTTCTCTCTCTCTCTAAGTTCATATAGTCTTTGAATAGTTGCCATGAATTTTAAATGTGTGTCCTGTGTTTAATCTCTGTTTTGTTTATTTTAATATGTATTTTATAGAAATATACTTTAATATTTAGCTTGTATAGAAATACATTTTAATATTTGGATTTGTAGTATTTTTCCAATGTCTATGTGTTTAAATTATTCTGTAACCCGCCTCGAGCCACAAGGAGAGATGGGTAAGAAATAAATAATAATAATAATAATAATAATAATTATTATTATTATTATTATTATTATTATTATTATTATGCCATTCACAATTTCCTTTTCTTGCTTGATACAGTGTATTTCTACTTATGTGTATATCCCACTTTCCTTTAAAAGGTTCTTTGAGGAAGTTCTCCCATTTTATTAACACAGCACTTCTCTTGTAGTGAATGATACTGAGCAAAAGAGACTGAGACTACATTCAATGGCAAACTCTGGTTTAAAGGGCTCCAGAAAAGCTCCAATGCAGCACCAAGAACTCTTTGGCATTAACATACACAGGGAAACTTTCTGATAATGTTAGTGCTTGCTGGCAGTGGGTGGGCCTCTTGGCGGTGTAGACAGATTAGGCCAGATCAATCCTGATCCAGCCATCCACATCTCCAACACTGCAGCAAATCCTGTGTTCTTTTGGAGAAGATTAACATCTGGATACAGCAGATGTTATGAGCATCCAACTCTTGTGTTGTGTGAACTAGCCACAGCAAGTGAGCAAGGAGTCTACATTATATTTTTTATTGTATAGGCACAGCCAGGGTCATTTTTTTCAGTCTCCTACCAACTGCTGTTGAAGTTCTGCCCACATCAAATCTGCTCTACCCTTCTCCCTTTGAATGTGTTGCTTCCTAAACCCAGGCAGTGATCATGACTGCATCCGCAAGCCTTATGGCCTTTATAAGTAGGGTAGGTCTGAGGATAGCCCATTTCATCTTGTAAAGGTGTATTAAGGTTACAGTTGCAGGTAAAATAGAGCTCAAAGCTCCTGTAATTTTGCTTACATAGATGTCATATCCTCTCTTTTACATGAAAGATATAGGAAACTTGTTCTTTATGGTACCATGCAGCCCCACATCTCCACATGTGCATGTATGTGCATTGCTTCAGAATGAACTAAACAGAATTCTTCCCACTCTGGTGAGTGTGGCAAAAATCATTGGGTCCCAAACAACATGTGGGCAGATCATAAGTCATGTGAAGACTTCAGAGAACCTTCAGTGCAGTATTTCTGGAAGCAGGTTGTGCAAAAGCTGTGATGTCTCAAAGTTTTTAGGCACTAACTTCGGATATCAACTCTAAAAGTGTTCCACAGAGCCCTCTGGATCTAGAAAATTCATATAATCATTGTACTTATGTACTGTCAAATAATAACACTTTCAGATGGCTAGACAAACTATCACAAAACTATGGGTGAGCTTTTAAGTGAATATGATAGTGTTAGTGTGAAGATATTAAAAGTTTTGTTATATTCCTTGTTCATTAGTTTTGTGTGTGTTTGCTGCTCACTGGAGCCCTGTAACAAAAATGACAGGTTTCCTTCTTTATTCAGATTTCTCCTTTTTAAACTGGTGAAATAAAATGTTGCTACTGTAAGAGTAGGTCCTAAGGTTTTGTCTGTTGTCATTCTCAGGGCCAGCCAGGATTGCTTGGACAGCTGGGACATCCGGGGCCACCTGGTGTGGAAGGTATCCCAGGTCTCCCAGGTCACAAAGGAGACAAAGGTGAAAGAGGCCATCCAGGAATAACCGGACCCAAAGGAGAAGTGGTAATTACAAAAGAAATAGTCCAGTAGGTCCATACTTAGCAGTAAAAAATAAACGTAAATGGCTTGTCATTTTTATCATATTTCTTTCTCATCCTAGGGACAAAGAGGGGTCACTGGATTTTCTGGTGCAGATGGTGTTCCTGTAAGTAACCTTCTCATTTCATATACTAAAATCAGAACTTCGTGTATAAACTCCATCCTATAAATAATTTAGACTGTGTAAAATTAACCTTCTTTTATACCATTACTACAACAACCCAGTGCTAATAGTGCCATCAGTATCATATAAACAAGAAGAAATAGCCCCTTAAAACTTACAAAAGAGCTCCAATTCATGCCCCTGAACCTCAGCAGAGTAAATTAAATAATTCATGAACCAACAAATCCCAGAATTTCACAGGATGGAGTCATGACCTTTAAAGTCCTATCGAAGCACTATAGCTCTCAAGCAAGGATTTACTTCATTTGAAGTCAGTACTTTTGTGTATGTAGATATGTGATGTAGCACACATAAAACATGCAGTATATCCAGAGTAATCTGCCACAGTGCATGTAATGTTGAGCACAATATCTACCCAGGCTGTTGATCTCTGGTTACATACCAACAGGTATATGCCTATATTCATGCCTTAAAAGGATGCATGCTGTATTGCATGGACTCTTCTTGTTCATTTGATGACACATTTAGTAGTTGTATTGTCGAAGGCTTTCATGGCCAGAATCACTGGGTTGTTGTAGGTTTTTTTGGGCTATATGGCCATGTTCTAGAGGCATTCTCTCTTGACGTTTCACCTGCATCTATGGCAAGCATCCTCGGGATGCTTGCCATAGATGCAGGTGAAACGTCAGGAGAGAATGCCTCTAGAACATGGCCATATAGCCCAAAAAAACCTACAACAACATTTAGTAGTTCTTTGAACAAAAAACCCCAAAGCTATCACAAATTTCCTCTTTTTGTTTTCCTCCGCTACACTGTTGACTGCGAATATAAGCAGGTTTCCCTTTCTACTGTGTATTTACACCATTTTCTCTGGAGTATCCAGTTTGTGGTACAGTAATAGAATTAATAATTCCTTTTCTCTTTTCATTTTCTCATGATGTTCTTGCTTGGGATGAGAATGTTCAAGGGCTATATGGAGACTAGGAAGAAGAAACCAGAAACAGATGGTCAGATGAACATGCTTGTATTTATTTTTCTCCACAGGGCCATCCGGGTCAAGCAGGATCAAGAGGGAAACCAGGCCATGATGGCTGCAATGGGACCACAGGGGATCCGGGTCAGCAGGGAAGCCAGGGACCTGGAGGCTTGCCAGGTTTCTTTGTAAGTTGCCAACATTGACTAGACAAATGAAATAAAATGTTTCGTCCATGTAATCCTACTGTTCCGCTCTTGTGAATCACGATTGGGTTCTCAGGAGAAAAAAATAGATTTTCTCATAAGGAAGGAAGCTTGGTGCAGCATTTGTGCTAATTTGCCATTTAGAAACCTACACGGAAGTCCTGCAAGAACTGTCTGTCCATCCTAGCTCCAAGCTCCAAGCTGTGGGATAATTGACCAGAAGTCCTGTTTTGCATTATACCTCTGACTCACCGTCGATCTTCTGGTACATGAATATTCAACTAACATGAATCCCTCTCACACCTTGCACAGTCCCAATTTTTGACCATGCGCAGACTTTATTTATATGAAGCAAAAGGAAACCTTCCTTGTACATCTGCCATGTTCACTATTCTATAGCATCTGCTGACATAATCAAATAATAATAATAATAATAATAATAATAATAATAATAATAATAATATACTTTATTTATATTCCACTCTATCTCCCTGAGGAGACTCAGGGCAGATTACAGAACACACCTATGGCAAACATTCAATGCCATTATACAATTAACAAGGACAGACAATACATAAATAGAGATATAGGCTTTCCCATCTTTTCCATCTCTGGCATCTGGAGGCTGTGCTTAAGTCCGTCCACAGGGTAGTGCTGTTGCTCCATTTTCCATGCGGAGGAGCTTTGTTGTCTGTAGACGTCCTCCCGATCGAATTGCCAGCATGTTCTTATAGGTGCCTTTTATTTCCTCCCTGCTAAAACCAGTACCTGTTTACTCACAGTACTGTTTTTGATCTGCTAGATGGGCAGAAGCTGGGCTGATGGTAGGAGCTCACCCCAACCCAGGTTTAACTTCCAACTTTTCGGTTGGCAAGATTTTCTACAGCTATTGGTTTAATCCGCTGTGCTAAAACGTATTATGTGTGTGTGTATCCTTGTCTTTCTCCATCCTAGCTCCAAGGTCATGAGATCTTGATAAGCAAAAACCTAGCACGCATACCTACAACTATGCAAACAGAGAAGTAAAGGTCTAGTCTGGTTGCCTTGGAGTACCTACAGATACTATCAGTGCTTTTTCTTCTACATGTTGGAAACCTAAAAGAAAGCTCCCAGAAGTTTGATGAAAGCAGGACCTTTTCCCCTCCTGCCCTCTGCCTGAAAGTCAAGAGTGGGAATACTTCCACAAATCATGACAAGCTAATCATAGTTGATAGGTTTTGATCCTTTTTTATTAAACAAGTATTTTTGAAAAATTGCAGTATCCACTTTTTCTTTGTGTCATGGTTTGGAAGACTTGTGGCCATGCTATGCTGATGTTGAAAAGTATATTTCTTCCATGGAAGGAAAAAGATTTAGTGGTTCTTAAATGTTTATGCAGACCAGTTTTCTGAAATAGCTTCATAAAATCCTTGTGCTGCAAAAGTTTGTATGAAATAAGAGTTAAGGTTTTGTCTGTTTTGTCTTTAAACACACAGGGAATCCAAGGACCCAAAGGTCAAAAGGGAGAGCCTTTTGTACTGACTCCAGAATTAGCTAGACAATTCCAGGTAAATCTGTGCAGCAGTTATGAACTGAAGTGATTATAAATTGAGAGCAATGGTGAGGTGGGTGGCGGGGAGTATTTCTGTATTATTCTGCAAAGATTTAGTGTACCTTAAATGTTCTGGGGTGCTTTGATTGTGTGTTCCTACATGGCAGGGGGTTGGACTGGATGGCCCTTGTGGTCTCCTCCAACTCACACTAGGATTCTGTGTGAGAAGATTGTCAAGCAGGAATCTTATTGTTAATTTTCCACAGTAAAAGAATCTGATTCTTTCATCATATCATTAATTGCAGCCTGTCTCTGACTGTGTTGAAAAAAAAACTACAATCTAATTTTTTAGATAATATATCTCCACCGCAGGCAAATAAAATGTCCATCAGTGTAGATTTTATCTTTCGTTTAGAAATGTGCTTCTTTTTCTTCAAGGATAAATATTTTTCAGGGGCTTTTCCCATGCCACTTTCATACAGTCTGTGCATTCAGAGATCACAGACACAAACTATGTTTACCAAATATGTTTGAAATGAATACTTAAGTGTATCAAGGGACTGCTTTTGTTTTTCCCTATCTATTGGAAATTAAAGCATATACACAACTGTTGGATGGGCCCTGAACTGTTTCCTTTATTCCTTGCCTAGGGCAAGGCTAGTGCGCTCTCTCTCCTGCTCTTACCTCCCCTCCCTCTATTTCTCCCTCCCTCTCTCTGAGGCTGCTTCTACATAGCCACATAATCTGGATCAAAATGTGGATTAAAGAAACCTAGTTCCACTCCAGAAAGTCTTTACACACACCTGGGGAACCACTGCTCCCCTTGTGCCAAATTGATCCAATAGCATGACTTTTTTTTCTTATCCCGTTTGGAGAAATGCACTGAACTGTAGCAGCCCATTGGTTGAGCTTTAGCAATGGAGCTCATCTTTCAACTCAAAAACAAAAAAGAAGAAAGTAATGTCTTCTCAGGGGGAGATGGAAAAGGTGTTTGTTTACTTTCTGAGATCACTTTATCCTGTTCCTTTATTTGAATTTTCCAGAGGTGGAGCTGTTTACATGAGTGCTATCCTCCCAAATTTCTGCTCTGCAGCATTCATGTACTAATCAGCCACAATGCAATCTATTCCTGATTTCAGACTTCCTCTTGTTTTTGTTTTGTTTTGTTTTTTTACATGTGGATGTGCATTGCAGATGCATGGGGGGGGGGGGTGTTTTCTAACTGCCACCCTCTCACCTTATAATATGCATCATTCTGGATTTTACATCATGTGTAGATGGGACCTGAGCTAACTCCTTATCTTCTGCTCAACTTCCTTCATCTCCTTATTTCTGATCTTGTGTCTTCTTCTTCATTTCACATTTTCTGTTTCTTTAAAAGGAGAAGTCTGACCTTTGAGTTCTTCCTGGTTTAGACCTTCTTTTCCATTTTATTTATTCCTGCTTCTTCACATGGCTTGTGACAAAGTCTTCAAAAACTGAGAAGAACAAAACAAGGAAATTTAAAGGAAATTCGAGCAACGTTATTGTTGTGGATGGGCCCTCAGGCTTCAGGAAGCTGATTACTGTGGATCTGCTTTCATTGTCCTGGTTCCAGTGACTTGGAGGAAGCTGCAGCCAGGGGTCAAAGTGACCTTGCCAAACTCTATGGGGGCCCAGTACTCTTCATGAAGACACCCACCATGCTCCTTGCCAACCTCACAAATCCTCTGTGGCTCCTTTGTTGTGCCAACCATCAGAATCACGCAGTATTCCAGCACTGAGTAAATCCCAAGGACTAATGCTATGTCTCACAAACATCTGCAGAGTGAAGGACTCCCTCCAAGTTATGTCCACTGTATTGTGCCAGAAAACAGGCATTTTTCTAATCCTGGCAATATCTCATCTAGCCAGTAGAGGGACCAGTCATTCAATGCTTACTACAGATTGCAAAACCTATTCTGTAAGCTAAAATCATAGTGGAGCATGTGCTCAATTCACTAACTGACGAGTCTTAGAATTTTTTTAGTCATAGCTCAGTAAACTTCACAACGTTGATCCCTTATCACCCCTATCTAAACCCTCAAAATAAATAAGAATATTTTAATAGGCATACGTTTACATATTTTCAGCCTCGGTTCCTGCTCTTCAAATTCATGTGTAGATTATTTTCATGACTACTTAGACACAACACTAGATAAAAGGGGAAACAGGCCGATTGCTTCTCACCCCTCTGAATACCATTCTCACGCAAAGACATTGCCGTGTGAGTATCTCAGCATTTTGCTGCTTCTAGTGAGCCCATCTGTTTGGTGAATCATCTAATGAAGACATCTTAGTGGAAAGAACAGGGAGAAAAGTTATGCCCCACAAATAAAAGAGGTCAAAAAGTGATTCAGCTGCTCCTCTTTATTTTGTTTTTCCAAATCCACTGATGACCAAAACCATCTGGACAAACTGGTTGGAACATGCTACAGGGATCCCAATAGTTTCCCTCTGTCCTTGAAGTCCAAGGATCTCCAGACTCTTCCAACTGGCTCAGGAAGAGACATGGTTTCTGTTGCTCAGATCTTATCTCTTCTTGCAGCACTCAATAGCACACCTAACCACCCGAGGCTCCTTTGGCTACCCATATGTAGGTAGTGGTTGACACGCAGTTTTTATCTTATGAGCCAACAACATATTCCATCTGGAAAGTCGTCATCAAATAGTGCAGACATAAACACTTGACTGTGAGTAAGGAGGTCTTCCACCTCCTCTCCCCCCCCCCCCCCCCCCCTGCCCCAAGCAAGAAAATGCCTGCTTCAAACCAAACATATAGTGGAAGCAAACATCAGCCACATCCTTATTGAACATTTCCTTTATCCTCAAAGTACCCTTATCCGCAGGATGCAGGATTTCCCTAGTCCACACCCTACCCACCCATCCAAGAGACATAAAAGTTATCCACAGGGCACTAGACTTTTTTTTCAAGGACACATTGGATTTCACATACTTAGAGGCTTTCTTCTTCTGTTTTTTTTCCCTAGACCCATTTGCAGGAAAGTACCACAGACTGACAAAGCTCTGGTTGTATATTTCCCTGACCTAAGATATACACGAAATCCCCAAAGGAGCTCAGATTAGAGCACACTCCACTAGAGCAAGGGTCATCTTAGGATAATTTGACATTAAAGCTGAGCTAGGTGAGGGCTGTAAAGCAACTATGTGAGCCACTCCATTTGTATGGAGCAGAAGTTTTGTGCAAGGGTAGCAGTTAGTCCTAAACACATAAAATTCAACTTCTTGATCTTTTGGCATCCACTAAAAACAGATTTGTTCTGTCCTTTTGGATGCTAAGATTTACAGGAAACAGGGAACAGACAATTGGTGTTTTATTGTGAACACTTATTCTAACCTAGTGTGAAAGTGGCATTTCAACTATGGCTTGGCAGAGGAGGCAAAGCAAGAGTATGTGCAAATCAGCAATCTGCCTCATCTCACCTGGTCCAGGGCTATCTTGCTCCTCCTGAGGAAGGGAAGCACTACTGGCACTGTTATCTCCTTCTTTCTTTGTTCTTGTCTGCATCTTTTTGTGTAGTGAGCAACCTTGAGATTTTTCTGACTTTTTGTAATTATGGGTGAACCTGGGAGATGCACCAAAGAAGAGTGCTAACCATTCAGTTCTTGCCTTTCTGTGCAGATGCTATTATTACAGTTGTGTGCCTTAGAGTTGTTTCCAACTTAAGGTGATCCAAAGGTAAACATGCCATCCAGCTTTCTATGCAAGATTTATCCACAGGGGGTTTGCCTTTGCTTTCCTCTGAGGCTGAGATTGTGACTTGCCCAAAGTAGGTTTACATAGTCAAATTGGGATTCTTTTGACTGCCAACTTATCACCAGACCAGAAGGAATATTCATAGCAAGAAAACAGTCTTCTGATTTAATATGATCTTTAAATTTTGTTTTTACTTTCAGTGCTCACAAACCATAAAATCTTCAAAAGAATGAACATATTCCAATAAATAAGTTCCTTTTAATTTTACCTATTAGAAACTGTTTCTTATATTAAAATTGTACTTATGGTTTAAATTTAGTGGAGCTTTTCTCCTTTCTTTAGGGAGACCCTGGTGACCGAGGCATGATGGGCTTCCCAGTAAGTAAACTGGAGATTGCAATTTAATAATAATAATAATAATAATAATAATAATAATAATTTTAAAATTATTATGATTTTTTTTCTTTTTGAAAATATTTTTTCTCAATATCTAGGGCTCCCAGGGTCACCGTGGTTCTGTAGGTCCATTTGGTCCAGTTGGAAGCCCAGGTCCACCTGTAAGTATCATAATGAGGTTGTAATACCAGTTTTAATGACTTGTTTCTATTCTCTATCTGCTTTGGGAAATTATTGCATTACATGTATTTATTTATAATTTTTTTTTATTTGTTTGTTTTTTTGTTTATATCCTGCCTTTCTTCCAGTTTGGGGCCCAAAGCATAGAACATCATAATATCCAAAAGTCTGTGCACATGGAACTCTACATGGTTACAAGTTACAACTCTTTTTACATAAGAAGTGCTGATTACTTTTAGAAAAAATGAAAACAGATATGAAAAACTAAAGGAGAGTAAGACTCTCTAAATAATTTCAAATGACATATTCCATGTATATTGTATATGCTATGTATAAAATAATTGACATTGTAGGTATAATTATATGGAGCACTCTCAAGAGTTCATGGCTTCTGGTTTTTTTCTCTCCTTTAGGGGCCCCCAGGACCACCAGGTCCTCCAGGAACTCAAGTAAGTCTTTCTCTTATTTTTGGGTTTAATCTCTATGACGTAAACCTATTTAATGAGCAATGATATCTCTCAAAGAGGAGCTCCAGGTGCAGCTCCTGAATCACCTTTCCCTTTTCCTTTGGCTCAGCACTAACATTACTGTATAAAGTGAATCTAATGTGTACCCCCATTATGGCAAGGTCATTTAGCCAAAAAGATGAGATTTCTTTTCAAGTAAATACAGTTGTAGTATATTTACTGTTGTGGTATTAGATAAAAGTAAGCAATGTCTAGACTGTTACATTCTGTCAGAAAATGTATGCTAAATGTTGATCAATTATCTTTTCAGGGCAACAAAGGTGTTGGTTTTTATGGAGATACAGGGGACAAGGTAAAAGAAATGTAACCAATTGCCATTTGAAACAGTGTGTGAAAAATACATATTGAATTGATCTTCCCTTGCATAAATCAGGAGAAAAACTGTGGCTAGTCAAATGTCTCAGAAACTCCTAACGCCATCTAGTATAAACCAGGCCTGACCCTGCTTATCTTCTCAAGCCAAGGAAAGGTTGGATACATTTAAGGTGGTAGATAATTAAACATCTTCCCTTACTGCAGTGTTTCTCAACCTGAGGGTCAGGACCCCTGTGGGGGTTGTGAGGGGGTGTCAGAGGGGTCGCCAAAGACCATCAGAAAGCATAGTATTTTCTGTTGGTCATGGGGGTTCTGTGTGGGAAGTTTGGTCCAATTCTATCGTTGGTGCAGTTCAGAATGCTATTTCATTGTGGGTGAACTATAAATCCCAACAACTACAACTCCCAAATATCAAGGTCTATTTTCTCCAAACTCTAATCAGTTTTCACATTTGGGCATATTGAGTATCCATGCCAAGTTTGATCCAGATGCATTGTTTGAGTCCACAGTGTTCTCTGGATGTAGGTGAACTACAACTCCCAAACTCAAGTCAATGCCCCTAAACCCTCCCAGTATTTTCTCTTGGTCATGGGAATTCTGTGTGCCAAGTTTGATTCAATTCCATCATTGGTGGAGTTCAGAAGGCTCTTTCATTTTAGGTGAACTATAAATCCCAGCAACTCCAACATTCCCAATGACAAAATCAATCACCCCCAACCCCACCAGTATTCAAATTTGGCCGTATGTGGTATTTGTGTCAGATTTGGTCCAGTAAATGAAAATACATCCTACATATCAGATATTTACATTACAATTCATAACAGTAGCAAAATTATAGTCATGAAGTAGGAATTAAAATAATTTGGAGGTCACTACAACATGAGTTGGGGGTCAACATAATATGAAGAACTGTATTAAGGGGTTGCGGCATTAGGAAGGTTAAGAAACACTGCCTTACTGCAATACCAGTCCTTCTTGGACCTTCCCATCGTGTATGTTGAAGTAAGAACATGTCAGGTTCTCAGACTTGAAAAGTGGATATAATGTAAAAGTATCCCCTTGACTCGTAAGAGTTTGACCCCAATGTATGGATATGGCTTTAGCCTGTGTTTTACTCATTGAACTTTACCCCTTTGTTTGTCTGGCAGGGAGATCCTGGGCCCCCTGGTCCTCCTGGGCCACCATCAACGCGAGAGCTGGTGACATCCACAGATGTAATCTCAAATGAATACAAGGTAATGAGAAATATCACTGAGCATCCTACAGAGCATTCAGTACACAAGAATAAGAAACAAGGCCAAACATTATTTCTGCATGCTCTTTGTCATAGTAAATATTTGTTTCCATTACTTGCACATTGAAAATGGAATGGTACAATCATTTAGTTAATTTTTTCTCTAGGGAGCCAGCATGATAGTGCAGGTTTTCCCATGCTGAAGGGAGCAATAAATCTGTAGCTGGGATGGATATGCATTTTAAACGAACAGGAACTTTTTTCCTGCAGGCATCAAAATTTCATTTCTATGCCAAAAAAAAGAGTCTGTTTTCATGCCATAGTACCCAGTTTTGGGATTGGTCAAGTGGCTAAGGATTTAGGAAATTTAGGACTTTGATTAATTTAGAAATATTTTTCTCCTTTCAATTCTGATCACATTTTCCCTTCCCAAACAATAGAAAAATATCAACAGACTGTGACTGCTAGGGACACAATTCCGATATGTCCCTAGGGTCTGCAAGGATGTCTCTAAAGATACACCAGTGCTAGCAGCTTACATCTAAATTATACATGTCCAGCAGTGTGAATACAACATATTAAAGAAAAACTTAAGTTTAAAAATTTAAGCACTAACTGCTCTGCTTTATATATATTTTAGGGTGTGAAAGGAATAAAAGGCATAAGAGGGCAGCCTGGAATCCCGGTAAGTCCACAGAAATCAAACACAAGCCCTCTTGTGATTTAATATCTGTATATTTTGGCTATTGTGGGTTTTGCATCCTATTCTTGATTGGAAATGAAGGTTACAGTTTCTAACAGACCAGACACTTAGTGTTTTGGGGAGATTTTCCAGTATTTTTCATCATGTGACTGACACCTTTGTGTTTTCTTAACATATATACAAAAGTAATATAAATGTCTTCCAAACTTGGTGGCAGTAGGGGTCAGTCAAAAAATTGATGTGGGAAGGAGGCAAAACATTTATATTATACCAGAAATCCCGGGCACATTTCTCACCTGACAGTCCTCAGATCAGCTATCTATTATACCCTTGTGGCTTCCTTCCTTATCTTTATAACCATAAGAATATTAATCAATCCTGCAAATCTGATGCAGCAGCTAACAGTCAGCCATTTGTCGAGACGCCCATTACTCAACATCTATTTTGGTACCTATTTGAATCTTATCACATAATATCTAGATCTGAAAGTACAACTTTCCATTTAATGTATACAACAATAATTGAAATATTTAGTGCTGCTTCTTGATGTCCATAGTAGTATATGATAGACCTGCCTTTCTCAGGCCCCTTCCACACTGCCCCTATATCCCAGGATCTAATTCCAGATTATCTGCTTATCCCAGATTACATGGCAGTGGAGACTCATATAATTCAGATTAAATCAAATAATCTGGGATATAGGGCACTGTAGAACGGGCCTCAGTAAATGTAGAACACAACTGTTATGATCTTCCATATGAGGTGCATTCAACTATAATCAAATGTGCCAGACTTTGCTGAATGATATGATACTTTGCCCAGTATCTTTGTCTTTGCCCAGGTGCTGCTTTGTCCCAAATGCTCTATGCCATTTTTCTTCCTTTCCAGTTTACTTCTATTATTGAGGTTTACTCCTAAATAGGATAAACATATACTTCACATATCTAGTCATTATTGTTTTGTGGAAATACTCTCTATAGCAGGGGTCCTCAAACTAAGGCCCGGGGGCCAGATGTGGCCCTCCAAGGTCATTTACCCAGCCCTCGCTCACAGTCAACCTAACTCTGAAATGACTTGAAAGCACACAACAACAACCCTATCTCATCAGCCAAAAGCAGGCCCACACTTATTGAAATACTAATAACTTTATATTTGTTAAAATTGTTCTTCATTTTAATTATTGTATTTTTAAGTGTCTTTTGCACTACAAATAAGATATGTGCAGTGTGCATAGGAATCCATTCATGTTTTTTCAATTTATAAACCGGCCTTCCAACCGTTTGAGGGACTGTGACCTGGCCCTCTGTTTAAAAAGTTTGAGGACCCCTGCTCTATAGTGTTTTAGAGATAATCTCCTTGTTATATACTGTTATGCTAAATGTAATTGTTATACTAAATTGGATACTAAGTTTTTGGTTCTGTTTATTGTGCATAGGGTTCCCATGCATATACAGCAGAAAAGGGAGAAGAAGGAATAACAGGATTTCCAGGATCAAGGGTATGTATATTATTAAAACCAGCAAGAAATTATTTGCATCCGGATATGTTTTCTTTCTGTTCTACCAGACTATCACAACTGTCACAAAACTGAAACAGCAGTTTGGATGGGGTGAATTTTGATAGTATATCTACTCCAATTTTCTGTTGGATGGTCTTGCTCATGTTTTTAGAGTCTGACTGAACGTAATGATTGGTATTAGAAAGGAAGTTCTTAAAGAGACATCAATTGGATGCCAATTATTTTTTTTATTTATGAATGTATTTTTCCCATTCTTGAAGTAAATCAACACATTCCAGTCACTTACACCTAGTTCCTTTTTAAGGAACTTTCGGTCAAACTGATCTGGGCCCAAGCCTACTGAATACTATTAATTGTGTAATGTTTGATTCTGTGATAACTTCTAAAATACAATTTGCCAAATGGAAGTCTTACTGAATTTGGTTTTTAAATCTTATTCTCTCTTCTTCAGATTTAATACATAATAACATATATTCTAGGTAGTAGCAAAGACAAATGACTGTTCAACATTGTTATGCTTATTCTTACATTTTATAGGGTTTGCCAGGAATCAATGGTCTAAAAGGATCTGATGGAGATGTGGTAAGTATGCATTCTGAAAATTAGGATCCTGAAGTAAGTTGTGATCATACCTCCCCATCCTGATATTTGTGGCTGCCTGAGGAAAGTTGCCTTTCTCAAACAATGGGAGATGGGACAAGAGGATTGCTGGAAGGAGGTAGAAATCATGCCAAATTATATAGGAGCTATAGGAGGACAGTCTTTACCTCCAGGCTTACAAACCAAGATATAGCACAGAAAGCAAAACTGCCAAGGAAGGAAAGCACGACAAACATGGGTACTGGTTCTTAAAGTTGCATGTCACTTACAGCAACCAGCTGGAAAGGGAAATGTCCTCTTGTTTTCCGCAAAAGCAAGAACAGCAAGAGGCATAGAGTGAGCAGATTGGCAAACACAGGAAACTGGAAAAAAAAAACCCAGTGGCAGGCAGATAAGTGTGTTAGTGTGTGAGAATGTGTGTAAGTGTGTGCATTTCCCCCTCTTTTTGTCATACTCTTTGCTCTGCCCTAACACATTGAAATGTGGGATGCAACAAGTTTTGATCACAGTCATACAGATGTCAACTGAAAAAAGGATTCTCTGCCAATGTCTTGAAATTGATTGCAATATGTATTTCAGGGTCTCCCTGGACTTGATGGTAACCCTGGTATTCCTGGTCAAAAAGGAATGAAGGTAGTTCTTTAATTTATTTTATTGCTTGTATAATAAATGAACGCCACTGATGTTCAGAATAGAACCAATGTCATAAAATGATCCCATTAAGGTTCAGTGTTTCATTGGCCATCATCCCAGGAATCTCATCCTTGTGAAGCTAAGGAACTTTTAAAAATATGTTGTAGTTGTATTTCAGTTAACAGCTGAAATATTTGTATTTACACAGGGAGAAACTGGGGACAGAGGGATTCAAGGATCGCCAAGTTATGCACATCATCCCAGGCTCATAAAAGGTAATTCTTCCCTTATGTATTTTTAATAAAGATTTTACAGGTTCTTTACTTTGGGCATCTTAGAGTATACATTAAATATATAAATTAGAGAGAGCAAAATGCAGCATTTATCCCCTCCCTTTTTTAAACTGAACTTAAGTTTCTGTAATGGGCTGTGGTGACGCAGCGGGTCAAACCACTAAGATGCAGAACTTGCTGACCAGAAAGTCGGTGGTTTGAATCTATGGGACAGAGTGAGCTCCCGCTGTTAGCCCAAGCTTCTACCAACCTAGCAGTTTGAAAACATGCAAATGTGAGTAGATCAATAGGTACTGCTTCAGCGGGAAGGTAACGGTGCTTCATGCAGTCATGCTGGCTACATGACCTTGGAGGCATCTACAAACAACACCAAGTCTTCAACTTAGAAATGGAGATGAGCACCACCCCGCAGAGTTGGACACAACTGGACTTAATGTCAAGGGAAAGCCTTTACCTTTATTTAAGTTCCTATAATTGGATATACTGACTTTGGGGATGGGAATGGCAGTCCAGCAACATCCAGGGACCCACATTACAACCATAGACATTAAAATATGCTTGTCATTTGTATTGAATAAAGAACCATGAGTGGACTCACAATTCCTGTTTAATAAAGTCTAGTTCCTGTCACAACACTTAACTTTACTGAAAGAGCAACTCTTATTGCAACACTGGCATATACATGTTGCTTTGAGTTATGAAGGAGACATGCAAATTCTAATCACAGGTTACAAAATTCCATTTTGGGTAGCAGTTTGAAGTGACTACTCTTACTTTTTAACAAAATAATTCATTTTAGTACAGCTAGGCTGGCCAAATCAAGACAACCCCAGGTCCTGAGATTTCAGATCCAGTACCTAGGAATGATAATGTGTGGTGTCACAGAAGGTTGGCCTTGATGGGATCATTAAATATGATATATTAAGTCCCAACCATAGTTGCATACACTTTTCAAAGCAACACTCCCATCCTCAGATTCCTCACCCTGAGGTCCAGAGAAGACGGGCCTGGTCCTAAGATTAGGAGGTACTAAAGATTACAAACCACTGAAGTTGTATAATGGTTACAATAACATTCTCTGCTCTTTATAATTTAATGTACTTGTGTGCTTTCTTTTAAATGAGCTAACAAGTGTCAGAGTTTTTCTGGGAAATAATTCATTATAGCTGCAAAGTCATGGGCCCATCCCTACCAAAAAATATGTATGAAATCACATTTAAGGAGCCAGTGGAAGGAGACCTGGGGTAGCTGCCAACTCATTGAGCTCATGTTTTCTGGAGCATGTCTGAGTCCCTCTTCGGAGATAGAGAAGATCGGGATATAAAGGTTTTAAATAATAATAATAATAATAATAATAATAATAATAATAATAATAATAATATGCTGGTAGATGGAACCACAAGCACATGTTTAGCCAGCTTTTCTATGTTATTTCCCATGCATAAATTGCGGCCATGTACACACTAAACCACACATATTTGTAGAAGCTGCAGCACATTCACACACCCCTCCAGCTCTACTTAGCTAATCCTAGTGATAGGGTAGCTTGGTTATTGCCACATGGATATTATGTGTACCTCAAGCAGATGTAATTAACCTACAAAAGTGGATGGTGCTGTGAAGGGGGCTATGCTTCTGCATAATATCACCCACTGTTTCATTTGTGCACAACACAGACCTCTTCATGTACTTATAATTTTCATGGAGCCGTACTTTGTAACGTAGCTGTAAAAGTTAGATTTCAATTTGCCATATGTGCTCATATATCAGTCTAGAAATTTTAATCAAATAATCAACCCAAAAAACTTGGGACAGCTTATCCACAGTCAATCTGAACATTGTACTTTAAGTCTTATACAAAAAAGGAACCATCCCCTTCTCTGTGTGGCTAAAAGCAAGACCTTAGTCCATCCCAAGAGAGCCTAATGAAAGCATTGGCCCCCTCTACTCTCTTCACTTGGTTTCTGGCTTTTTCTTTCTTTCTTTTTTTCTTTTCTTTTCTTTTTTTATGCCCTTGAAAGGAAATGTTGGTGGCACTATTATTTTGCTTATTGTGAGCCATCTTTGGATTATTTATGCGTGAAAAGCTCTTTGGGGCAATTTGCATTATTTTTTGAAGGGCATAATGTTACCAGGCCAGTAATTGCTTTTGGAAAGGTTTGCACAATGAATTATCAGTGACTTCAAAAGAGCCTATTTCAGCTTGATTAACTTTCTAACCTTTTTAAAAGTCTTATTCATGCATTCCACTTTGCACTTCGTCTCTTTGTTTGCAGGAATAAATAGGGTATTTTATTACACCACTAAAAAGAATCCAGTAAATTAAACAAGCTTTAAATCGTGATTTAATAAGTGTGCTGGTTTGATATTTTTAACTGTGATTTTCCTGCTTTGCTCACTCACTCACATGAAGGAAAAAATAAAGTGACTATGTGTAACTGTTCAAATGAAATCATTGATTGAAATGCTATATTCCTTTACTGCATTGGCTATAAAATATTGCTTAGAAATTGTAATTACAATGGCACACTAACTTTGCATAGATGGTCAATCAGAAATACTACAGTTTGACAAGTAAACTATTCTGTCTGAGAGGCAGTGTGTACAAGTCAAAATGGACTAATCAGTGGACATCCCTTTGTATCATTTCCAGTCTTGATTCTAACTTATGTACAATGTCTACAATGGAGTATTGTGTGTTTTTTGAATTGTATGGCTGTGTTCTAGCAGCATTTTCTCCTGACGTTTCATCTGCCTCTGTGGCTGGCATCTTCAGAGTCCAGAAACCATACAACACCCCAGTGATTCTGGCAATGAAAGCCCTCAACAATACAAAATCTAAAATTGTTTTCATTTTTTTCTCTCTCAAATACATTTTTATGCTTAAAGTTTATCCTCATTTTGTGTACTAGTATTCCTAATATAGACATTTTATGTGAAACTCTCCATACTTTAAACAGTCTGAATCTGTTTATAGTTTAAAACAATTAGCATAATTTAAAAGCTATTTCATGGACATGTTAGTCCAAGAAGTACAAATAGGATCACTTAGCCTAAACGCACTGGCTGAACCACATTTTCCCCCTCCCAGCTCTGGTGGGGAGAGCCACTGACTAACCTGTCCCTTTGGGTGTGTTTGCAGGTGCCAGAGGCGACTGGGGCGCTAGAGGAGTCCCTGGGCCTCAAGGAGACAGGGGTGAACAAGGGAGCCCAGGCATACCCGGCCTGCCAGGATCATCTGATGGTAATTTTCTGGCATTGTGTCATCTAGACTGTGACATAGGCGGAACAGATTAACTCCTCTAATATTGTGTTTTATTATGATCCTTGTCATTTTATTTTGGAATTCCAAACATTCATGGCACTTTGGTGGGTTACATAAATCTGCCATTTTTCCCCTTCTATGTAGGTGTTCTTCCTTTGGCCCCTTCTACCCTGTCAAATAAAATTATCTGCTTTGAACTGGATTATATGGCAGTGTAGACTCATATAATCCAGTTCAAAGGAGATAATGTGCATTGTCTGCTTTGATAATTTGGTTTATGTGGCAATGTAGAAGGGGCCTCAATAAATTCACTCTTCTGTGTGTTTGTTGTGTGGGTTTGATACTAAAAACTGATTGAAATAGTGGTTTCGACACTCCAGGTGTTTTCGACTTCAGCTCCCAAAATTCCTGAAGTCCCAAAAGCTGACCAAAGTTTGAGAACCACTGAGTTTGAGGAACTGTCAAAATTATGTCTTTGCCTATTACTTGCAGACTGGTGTTTTTAGTTTTACCAGCATTATGACTGTATTGTTACTCCTCTTCACCAGCAGGTGAGAAGTTACTGATCTCCAGTCCATTGACAGTTCAACTTTTGTCAAGCTCCTTTATCCTAATCCTATTCTTCAGCTAAAAAGTTCACATTAAAGTGTTGTTGTTGATACAGCCATATATCAATGTTGCTTCAGATGAAAGAGATCCAAGAAATATTTACGTGACCCCAAGAATATAAAATAGATATACAAATAAAACAGTTATTGATACATCAGCATTTGCAAGGCTTGCTAAACAGGCTTTCCTTTTTGTGGAGTACAGCTGAACATTTTCTGTAAACACTGTATAATGTTGCCAACAGATTCATGTAAACCATTTTCTGTTACCAATTTTTTGTGATTCCAACATTGACCTAAGAGGATCCCTTTTGGAGTCAGGATCCACACACAATTTAAGAAGCAGTAGATGAGATGACCCTTGGGATCCCTTCTGGCTCCATGACTCTGTGCTACTATTTTGATAATCCATAAGTGTATAATCAATATCTTTTCATCTACACTGAGCATTCTAAAAATCTTGTATCCTAACCAAATCTTCCCATTTCAGATATCTCTGTGGGAAGAGGTTTGCCTGGTGAAATGGGCCCCAAAGGTTTTATTGGTAATCCAGGTTTTCCAGCCACTCGCCCTGGTCCTCCAGGTTTAGATGGTGATCCCGGATCCCCTGGATTGCCTGGTCTCCCTGGCCCTCCAGGAAGTTCAGGTAAGAAGCCAGAGTGTTGGTAAGCAAGTAGCATGTTTGGAAAATGAAAGGATTATGCTTTCCAATGCAATTCTCAAAAACATCCTTCATTAGCCATCTTGAAAGTGAAAGATAAATCAGGATTTGAAACTTTCTACTTAGCAGGAATTCTAAAACAAAAGACTAAATATGCTCATTAACAATAAAAATAGTTATTAATTTTTTTTGCATCTTTGTGGCAGTTTATTCAAGTCACAGTGAAATGCTATTCAGTAGCTGTTGAACAAGATTAATTCTACTGTCAGATTGATATGTTATGTGGTAACTAATAGTTTTGCCAAGAATGAGAGGAATCCTGGGCCAAATTTGAGGATTTGTTAATATATTATACCGTTTTATGAGTGTATGAGTACACATGGGGATGTATTAAAATGTTATGTGGGGTTCGTATATACATTTGAAAGCGGGGTTCACCATATATCAGTTCTCCTGAGTGCTACTTTCCTTCAGACTTGTGCAATTTATTTGGGAACTTGGAAGAAGTATTTCAAAATATTGGCGGGAATTCACCTACAGTTGTGCAATCATGACTGGTTCATATTCACTAGTTTAGAGAATATGTAAGGACTTTGAAAGCCCCCCAATCTTCACGTATTGGACAGCAGCTATGGCGAGCATCAAGAGTCTGTTCCCCTGTCAATCGATAGCTGGTTAACTTTTTCAGATACATCACTTGGGCAAGCAAACTCAACAAGTGATTGGGGTTGTTATAGGAACACTGATTTTGCCTGTAACACAGGAGATGGCTTATGGAGGGGGTGGAAACATCTGTAATCTGCTAGATTTTTTGATCAGTGAATATGTTGAAAAGTCTCAGTGACTGTAGCTATTTCCCGAACTGATCAGACCCTTGGCATAGAGAAACAAGTTAATCATCTTGGAGTTACTGCGGGAGAGGCAGTGAAAATAAAGGATTACTCTTTGCATCTTATGTGGTATTGCAGATCTGCTGTAGAGACACCATTTCTTTCCTTTTGCTGACTGTTTCTATAGCATGTGTTGGCCAACAAAGCAAATATGTTAAAATAAGACTGAAATCGAGTTGCTAGTTCCAACTAGAGTAGACTCACCTATTAAGTTGCTGAAAAGTAAGTCAGTGCGTCTGTAAATCCTGTTGATTTGGTGAGTGTATTGTAATTGAGATTTGGGTCATTGCTCTCTGTGCTTTTGATCAAAGAGAACGTAGCCCATTAATAATAATAATAATAATAATTATTATTATTATTATTATTATTATTATTATTTTATTTATACCCCGCCTCCATCTCCCCAAGGGACTTGGAGCGGCTTACATGAGGCCAATTAGAGTTCTAGGACAGTGGTTCTCAGCCTGTGGTCCCCAGATGTTTTGGCCTTCAACTCCCAGAAATCCTAACAACTGGTAAACTGGCTGGGATATCTGGGAGTTATAGGCTGAAACACCTGGGGACCCACAGGTTGAGAACCACTGTCCTAGGAGCATCTCACATTCATGGAAGAGGAAAATAAAGAGGAGTATAGTTTAAGCTAATCCATATCCACATTGTTTCAATGTTCCTTTAATATCCTTATTTTCCAACTCTACAGAATATTACTTTGGGGAGAAGGGATTGCCAGGGGCTCCTGGGCCTGCAGGCAGCCAAGGATACCCAGGGCCACGAGGACAAAAGGGTGGAAGAGGTAAGAATACACCCAGTTTTATTTATTTATTTATTTGAAACATTTATATTCTGCCCTTCTCACCCTGCAGGGCACAACATATATACTGCAAACATTCAATGCTGGGGCGTAAAACCATAAATATATACAAACATTAACATCACTTATACCCACTTTAAAATCAGTGGCTGAAAAAACATCTCAGGATTTTAACACATTGTCGCCAATTGATTGTCATATAAGGAAGAGGGTTAATATGAATCATATTCGGTGACCTCTCACCCTCACTCCTTAATTAAAGCCCCTTCCCTTGTCCCAACTAAGAGCACTTCTGGAGGTGCAGGAACAGAGAAAGGCCTCTGAAGAGTATCTCAACAGATGTACAAGCCCATCCTTCAAATATCCACACCCTGATATTACTATATCTCAGTTCCCATGAGCACTAGCCATCATAGCCAAATGTGAGAAATGCTGAGACTAGTACTTCAGCAACATCACTAATTCATCCGCTTCTGTTCTACAATTTTCAGAGTTTTAGAGGCCATCACCAAGTCTTTGAATTGAACTTGAAAACAAATTGGAAACCATTTCAGCTCTTTTAACAGGGGAATCACATCTTCCCTATGTGGAGTCTCTGTCAATATGATATGAGGGCTCAACCATCTGGAGATTTGATTTGAAACAGTAAATTTGGGGTCTGGAATATCTGTGCAAATAGACACAAAAATTGCCAAACACCACAAAGCTCTAGTGATTACTTTCTGAAGAGAAGAACATTTAAACCTGGACAAATATTGTAGTACAAGAACTTGTCAACTTGTCAGAAAAGTGGATGAGGCTAACCATTGGCTTGTGTTGTAAATTCTGACCTTTAGCATAAATTAAAGAACATAGAAAAATATGTTCCAGAAAGGATTAGCTTTATGTTGCTCTTGTTTTTCTTAAATTGATGTATGTTTCAATACTCAAATGTTTTCTTCTCCAAACTTCTTTTTATAACTTATTGAAATGACACTGCATCCACCGTACTTTGTGCCTATATTTCTTGTAGGTGAGAAAGGAGATTGCATCTGCCCTGGAGGTATAGAAGGAAGGTGGGTCCCTGCTGGCCCACCAGGCCCAACAGGCTATCCGGGTCCAATGGGACTGCAAGGAAGAAAAGGAGAACAGGGAGATCAAGGCCCACACGGGGTTCCCGGTTTCCTTGGTGAAAGAGTATGATATTTATACAATAAACTCATATTTTTGTATTGTTTAAATAAATAAATAATTTGTCATTTATTTACTTTATTTATATCCCACCTTTCACCCCATGGGGAATCAATCAATAAATTGATTAATCCACCCTGAGTCCCTCTGGGGAGGAATATAAATAAAGTTTTATTATTATACAGGGTGCAGCAGCATAACTTCCTTTTTTTCAAAACTTAATAAAACCCATTGTATGAATCAGAAAAAAAAATATTTTATAATGTAGGTGCATACCTAAAGTTTTGTTTTACATAGTTTTGAAGATCAAATTAGGTAGGTGACGTCCCCCATTCTCCATTCTCCATACACTGAGTAAACCGATTTCTGGCGTTTGTCATGACTCTTGCCAGCATAGCAGGCGTTATGTTGGCAATGTCTTCCTGGATGTTGGTCTTCAAATCTTGTAGGGTCCTTGGACGGTTCACATAAACACGGGATTTCAAAAAACCCCATAGAAAAAAATCACAAGGGGCCAAATCTGGAGAGCGGGCCGGCCACTCCAAATCCGCTCGAAAAGTAGGCCTCAACGGCAAAATCACGCTCCTCACTGTTCCAACGCATGATGGCGACTGAACTGTGTCAGGACAAAACTTTATACTCCCGCCTCTCGAACGAGACCACTAGCGCTCCGCTACGTCTTCAACCGACTGAATGGTGCGCATTTTAAAAAAGGAAGTTATGCTGCCTCACCCTGTATTATAATGTAATTGTTGTTAAAAATATTGCAAAAATGCAATTCTTCATCGCCATTTATTGTGAATACTGTATTTACTTGTTGCTCTTCTAGAAAGAACATCCTCAGCAGGGTTTACACAGGACAAGTTAGCTCTGCAAATACGTATCTGTTTACTATATTTCAAAGGATAGACTTCCATATCTACATCTTTCACCCCTAAACACAGAAAAAAACATTATAGATTATGTTTATTCAGATTGTATCTATTTTAGCAAGAAAGTGGGAATGAAGGAAAGCAACTTCAACCTGAAGAAGCAGACAGTCTCAACTCTAAAAGGCAAAGCAATAATGACAAAGCCAAATTCTCTTTATCATGACGATAAAGACGAGACGATAGGATGAGAGATAGGGCCTTCTCGGTGGTGGCTCCTCGGCTGTGGAACACCCTCCCCGTGGACATCAGACTAGCTCCCTCCCTGATGATATTCCGCAGGAAATTAAAGACCTGGCTGTTTAAGAAGGCGTTTGAACAAGAAGTGCAATGATTGGTAATTGACCATAGGAATGGAACAACGGAAAATGATTCTGGATTGTGGTTTTGACGATGAGACGACACGGAATGGCTTTTTGTAGTAATGATGATGTTTTTTGATGAGGATGTTTTGATAATGATGAATTGTGGATTATTTTATACTGTGTCTTGTATTTTTCACCTGTTTTTCTATGTTGTACACCGCAGTGAGTCGCCCCTGGGCTGAGAACTGCGGTATATAAGCAAAGTAAATAAATAAATAATAAATAATAAATAAATTGTCCACTTGCTTCTTAAATTTCCTGAACAGCTCCTCAAGAATGTCTCACTTTTGATACACTTAAGAAGTGGAGTGCACCTTGTGATATCTGTAAAAATAATTAGAATAAACATATAAAATGCAAATATTTCTTTATAGTTGTTATTTACATTTTACTAATACCTAGGAGATATTTTAACTTCTCTAATCCCATGATAGCAACTGACTATTTGAGGGAAAAGATGCAGTGAATGACATGCCATGCAAAATCCTTTTACTGCCCTCAATATTCAAATTAGGAAAAAAATTGTGGATTCCTCTACCTTAACAAATTTGTATGCATTATGCACTCTTTCTGAAAGATTAAATACAAGGTTTTTCTTGCATTTCATCTTAATGAGATGATTAATTAGATTGTATTTATAATAACCAACAGGGATCTCCCGGTGCGCCTGGACCCTCTGGACGACACGGACCTAAAGGAGATGCCCAATACATTACAACAAAAGGTTTAGTGTAAATTTTTTTATTCTTTCTTTTTTGAGGAAAAATAATAAATGATATTAATTTAGTAATGTGTTTATTACTATAGTTGTGTCTCATTGAGAGCATTTTTCAGGTGCCAAAGGAGAACAAGGAAGTGAAGGAATTCCTGGACCGAGAGGAAGAGATGGTTTACCAGGCAAAGATGGGAAAGATGGCTTACCAGGATATCCTGGCCTCCGAGTACGTATCCACTCCAGCTTCTGTACATTGGCATAGTGCATGAAAGAACCAGCATACTATTATGCTGATATGGGGCTCTGCTTCTCTTTGTCACTGGAGTCAGGTGAAGTGCTAAATTTTAAGATGAGGACCAATAATCTGAAATTGAACTCTGAGAAGAGAGAAAGAGATGATGGAAAGATTTTTTAAGTCCAAAAATATGTTTGCGGCTGATAAGCAACAAACAAATAAAGTTTATTTATATTGATTTAAATTTCAATTACATGGATATTTATTATTTATATGATTCTGTTTTGGTCTTGAACCGGTGCCTGTCATCAGTAATGGACTAGATGAGGGCCAACAAGCTGAAACTAAATCCAGACAAGACAGAGGTATTCCTGATCAGTCATAAAGCAGATCAGGGTGTGGGATTACAGACTGTGCAGAATGGGGTCACACTTCCCCTGAAGTCACAGGTTCCGAGTCTGGGGGTGATCCTGGACTCATCACTAACTCTGGAACCCCAGGTGTTGGAAGTGGCCAGGAGCGCCTTCGCACAGTTAAAAGCCTCTCTATGCGGGGCTGCCCTTGAAGATAGTTCAGAAGCTGCAATTGGTGCAGAGATTGGCAGCCAGATTGGTAACTGGAGCACCTTATCATGAGAGGACAACTCCCATGCTACAGCAGCTCCACTGGTTGCCGGTCTGCTTCTGTGCTAAATGTTAAGTGCTGGTCGTTACTTATAAAGCTCTAAATGGTTCAGGTCCAGCCTATTTGTCGGATCACATATCTCCATATAGGCCATTGCAAGCCTTCGATCTTAGAAGGAGACGCTGCTCTGGGTCCCACCCCTGTCACAAATGTGGCTGGTGGGAACGAGATAGGAGGCCTTCTCCACGCTTGCTCTCTGTCTCTGGAATTCCCTCCCTAAAGAAATAAAAATGGCCCCCCACCCTCCTCTCCTTTAAAAAAAACTCTTGAAAATGCATTTATTCACTTTAGCGTATGGAGAGAAGGAGATACCTAGCTGACCGCATCTCGGCCTATGAACCCACCCGGACTTTGAGATCTTCCGGGGAGGCCCTGCTCTCGATCCCGCCAGCCTCTCAAGCACGGTTGGCGGGGACGAGGGATAGGGCCTTCTCGGTGGTGGCTCCTCGGCTGTGGAACGCCCTTCCTGTAGATGTTAGGCTGGCACCATCTCTCATGACATTCCGTAGAAAGTTGAAGACCTGGATGTTTGTGCAGGCATTTGAGTAATTCAGTGCAATTATGGTAATTTGAACATAGGAACGGAACAATGGACGTCGAACTTGGATTACGCTTGGATGATGAGGCGATCGGGGGTGGGTTTTGGGATAACTGTGTATTGATGTTTGTTTATTAGCTAGTAATGGAATGTGTAATTTAACTGTTATGGTATATTGATTATTGCTGTTTTTTATTGTCCTTGTTGTTTACTGTCTGGAAACCGCTGTGAGTCGCCCTCGGGCTTGAGATACAGCGGTATACAAGAATAGTAAATAAATAAATAAATAAATAAGAACTAGGACACTTTAAATTAATTCCATTAGATCGCTAGCTAACTTATTTCTATCTCATGACAGCTATGACACGTTTTAAGTGAACGCCTGTGTATTTTAATTGTCTTACGGGGTATATGTTTTAATAATAACTCATATTATTAGCGTTATCATGTCTTATTTGATTATTTTATTCTATTTTCATTTTGATGCTTCATTCTTTTGTTATAAGTTTACTGTTACAATTGTGTATTATTTTGATTTTTGACATGTTTGTATACTTTTGGGCGTTGAATGTTCACCTTTTTTCTGTGTGCAAACTGTTTTAAGTCCCTTTGGGGGAGAGGGTGGTCTAGATATGAAGTTGTTGCTGCTGCTGCTGTTGATGTTAATTTCCCAAACAGGGAGTTCTTTCAATATGCTGGTTGCAATTAAATAGCCCACAGGCAGCTGAATTCGTTTTTGAAATTGCTGATCTAGAGCTGCACTGAGACTGCTGAGGAAGGTAGGAAAGGGGCATAAAAGCTAAAACCAAATAATGGTACCAAGTGAACTGTGGTGTTTTAATTCCCTGTCAGGGCGATGGGACCAGAGGTGAACTCGGTGATGCAGGTGATCCAGGCCTACCTGGCCAAAAGGGTTTCCCAGGTGAAGATGGCTTGCCTGGTATTGGCTTGGTGGGTCCAAAGGGATACCGTGGCCCTCCAGGTGATCCTGGGATATATGGCAATCCTGGATTTCCAGGCCCTTCAGGTCCTCCTGGTGCTCCTGCTGAAATAGGTATGTGTCAGTTCTCCAATCATTTTCAGCCACATGTGAGATTTGGGAGTAGCATAATAGGTTTCCAGCATATAAGGATTGCCATAGTGAAGTGACTAGCCATAAAATGGATGCCACACAGGCAAGGTCATCCACAAAATGGCAAGGAAGTAAAGTCAGGTCCAGTAAATCCCTTCTTCCCACTGAGCCATCACTCTGGCCTTTCTGCTCTTCCCAGGCTCAGCTACCATAGTTTTCTTTTTCTTTCAGCAAAGCAAGAAAAAGTGGGCACCTCCTCCCCTGGAATGTGTGCTAGGACCCAGGCCTGGTGGGATGAGAAGATGGGAAGCTCATGGCAGCCTTACTCTTCCCCCAGTGCCAGCCCAGCAAGGCAACTCCTGCCATTGCTGTCTTTTTCATCTCTACTTCCTCCTGTGTTCCTGGAGAGACCTATAGTGCTGAGAGAACCCTTTCTGTGGGTCCCATGTGGCCCCTGATCGCCCACTGGGCACGTTAACAATCATTACCAGTTGCTGAGTCACATGTAAACATTCAAACTGCCAAAGAGAGCTTCCCTTTAAGATTGCTGTGTGGGTTCTCCCACTGTCACATGACATATTACACTCAATCCCAGAGGTTGACTGAGCCTCTTGCTTTCCAGCAAGTGCTTACATCTTCAAAACCTGGCTGAGCTTACTCCTTCTTTTGTATGCTATACCATAAACTACTTGGCAAAAAAAGATATTTTGATTTTTCCCTGCAGAAATAAAATAAAAACTATGAGAGTCTACAGAGAAGAGCTAAAGCACTTTAATTACCCATTGGGTTGCTCTCCCTACATTTCGTTTAAAACCCTCCTACTAGATACATCTTACCTCTGTTCATGCCCAGCGTTTCTTTTTAAAATTTTAACTAAATTTTAACATCTGGCCTGGCCATAGGTTTCTAAATCTTTGTGTGTTATTGTCTATATGTGAGTTATATTAATTGTATTGTTTATTTGTTTATTGCTTGTTGTTTTTACTGATGTGTTGTTGGGCTTGGCCTCATGTAAGCCGCTCCGTGTCCCTTGGGGAGATGATGGCAGGATATAAATAAAGATTATTATTATTATAAAGGCATATTAGATTAGTTTTGTGGGTGAGTGGCATCCTTCTGTATGTAAGAAATAATTTTAGCTAGTGAGTCCATGGCTAACAAATCACTGATCTCCAGCAACAACGGTGCTCAATCAAGCCCCCTTTTAAACTGCCAGATTATTCACTTTGAACTGGATTATATGGTACTGTAGACTCATATAATCCAGTTCAAGGCAGATAATGTGGATTATCTGCTTTGATAATCTGAATTATATGGCAGTGTAGAAGGGGCCTATGTTGTTGACCATTTATAATGTTGTATTGGCAGAGGCGGCCCTAGGTAATTTTCAACAGTAAGCAAACAGTATTTTGGCACCCCCAAACCAATCACTGATATATATTTTCTGTCCGTCATGGGAGTTCTGTGTGCCATATTTGGTTCAATTCCATCATTGGTGGAGTTCAGAATGCTCTTTGATTATAGGTGAACTATACATCCCAGTAACTACAACTCGCATATGTCAAGATCTATTTTTCCCCAAGAGCGCCTCAAGAGCGCCCCTGGGCAAAATCAACTATACTGCAAACACTTACTTTGCGTAATGGTTGAGCCGCCCCTCAGTATTGGCAACAGTGACTCTCCCCATATTTGTGGCCTATTTCCCATTATGATGGCTAGAGATGCTGCAATTTAGCAGCACGAAAAAGGCCATTCTTGCTGATCCCTGCCTTGCAAATCTAGCCTCCCCTGTAAATTACTATAAAAATGGTGACTGCATAAATTCCCCAATGACATCTAATGGTTCTAATATGACATAACTCCATTTCTGTAACTCCAACATTTTGGATGCTTAGGGGCTGTAGCCCATGGCTGCAGATCCACTGCACAAATAGATTGTGCAATCATTTTGTCCATAGAGTGAATGCTTCAAATGTTACAGTCACAGTGTCTGGTCCTTTGACAAATTCAGATGTTGCTATTGTTTTTGTTGTAGACTGTGGACAACAGCAACAAGTTATCATCGTAGATGCCAGACACAATCGAACTGAACCAATTCAATCAGGTAAACTCAATAAAATCATTTGAAAATGTATGTTGCTTGCAAGCTTTTTAAAATGCTAGTGCTTTTGAATGGTTTACATGGAAAGCACTGATAATTTCTGGAACCATGTTGCAAAGGTTTTTTTAAAAGATAGATCAAAACTTGGTTTAGCTAAATATACTAGGGTAGGACTCCTGGAAATTCCAACATTGAGCATCAGGCAGCTTAGGTAGTACTTTGAAAAGCACACTTATGAAAGTGTTGCCCATGTGCCTTAGTTTAGATCCAATAGCAAGACCAGATGTCTCAGTATCACTTTCTTTTTCTTTCCCACTTCTATGATTCTGTGATCCCTTTGACCACAAACCTTGTCTTCCCTCCTTCTATGAACCCCACTCCATTTCAGACAATTGTTGCTAAGAGAGAAGGTACAGAAACATCACAAACTGTGCATTTGGCTCATGAAGGCTGATGGCATTTGTCAGGCTTTAAGGGACCACAGAGCTCTTTTATTTTTGTTTCAATCCCTATTGTTTATCTCTTAGGGACTGGCTGTGTTCAACCTCCAAAAGGAATTCCAGGACGTCCAGGTCTTCCAGGAGCCAGAGGTGAATGTATAATATTGTCATTGATATCTTCATCATCTTCATCTTCATCACAGCCCCCTTCTACACTGCCAGATAATGCAGGTCATCAAAGCAGAAAATCTACATTGTCTTATTTGAACTGGATTATCTTAGTCTACACTACCATATAGTCCAGTTCAAAGCAGATAATATGGATTTTATAAAGCTGTGTAGGAGGGACCACAATGTAACTGTGGGAAAATATAAGATGATATCTTATGCTCCTTCTACACTGCCATATAATCCAGATTATCAAAGCAGATAATCCACATTATCTGCTTTGAACTGAATTATTTGAGTCTACATTGCCATATAATCCACTTCAAAGCAGATAATCTGGGTTTTATGTGGCAATGTAGAAGGGGCTTTGAAGTAACCATAAAATCCTATTCATTTATTTCCGTAATTCAGAGAACCTTTTATGGCTACTCCTCAATAGTTGGTACGGAAAAACATTTTGGGCATGTACAACTACAATATTTGCTACAATCACATGGTTTAGGATCATCCTCAAGATCAGTTGGCCAGTAATTTAATAGTACCACAAATACATTATTTGATCAACCTGCCTGTCAGAAAAAAGATAATCTGAATCATTTGGAAACAGAATGAAATGGATTACAACATAAGACACATAAAGTGTTGAGAACAAGCTTGATGTTATTCTAAAATAAAATGTATGTAAATAACATTGACTACTGCCATCTTTATTTTAAAATTTCTCATCCCTGAGGTGGGAGATTTTACTCATTTATATGCAGCTAGAAATCTGTGCTTTAATCAGTAAGCTCACATTTCCTTAGAATGTGAAGACAACCAGACTGGCACATCTTTCCCTTCATTTGTATCTTATATCATCTTTTAAAATGTAGGTGCAAAAGGTGTAAAAGGAATTCCGGGTGAATTTGGCCTGCCGGGATCAAAAGGATTTCTTGGCCTTCAAGGGGATCAAGGTCCAGAAGGTTCATCTGGCCCGCCAGGTACAGTTTATTTATTTATTTGTTTGTTTGTTTTGTATCAAAAGCATTGCATAAATTAGTATAAAACTGATAAAAATAGAAGGTGTGCTGGCAACTAAATATCTTTTGACCAAAAATGGGCAACATCAACAACATTGTTTGTAGCCTCCAGCAATTCCTCCTCTGTATATGAGGCAGGGCACAATGGACAAGCATACAGATGCAGAGTTTCTGTTCTGTATGGTACAGTAAAAACCCAGTACACACTCTTAAGAACACACTATTGCATTTCTACAGTTTATTTGTTTATTATTTACTGGTGCACAAGACATTGAAAATGATGCAAAATAGCCTAATATCTCTTGCTATTGATGCATTGTATTGTTGGAGGTAATTTTAGCATGTGAAAATAGTCTATGATTCTAATGCAGTAATGCTTAAAGAGAAGGCCTTAATGGCACACAAGGCTCTCTTATAATATACATAGTTGGTACTATAAGCCCTCATTCTTTGGTTGGAATTATTTGCTGTCACCACCATACAAGTGATCTCTTGGCCTTTATATGTCAGATACATTGTTAACTAATGCATGTCCGTACTATTAAAACCTGGCTTAATTTTCCCATTGGAATAGTGTGACTTTGCAGAGGTTGTTTGGCTGGTAGTGCTCATGATCTGCATAGCTCTGTTTAAATCAATCTTTTCTTGGGCCTTTTCTTGCATTAAGGATTTACTGGGCCCCGAGGAAACAGAGGTGCGCCTGGCTTGCCAGGGGAGCAGGGCTTTCCAGGCAGTGTCGGCCTCCAAGGCTTCCCCGGGCCTGCTGGGGCCAAAGGGATTACTGGTGATAGACTAGGAGCATCAGCAGGCCCTCCAGGGGATGCCGGACCACCTGGATTCCCAGGACTGAAAGGCCAGCAAGGAGACCATGGACAACCCGGGTTGAGAGGTAACTCTTTTGGGGTGGTGTAAAGGTTTTTCCATATCTGTGCCAATGCTTACATCTTTTAAAAAATATTTTCTCTGGAAACAAAAGTCCTTTCATCTTTGCTCTTAGAATCCAAAAAGATATGTGATCAAACTTCAAAAATGAAATAAGAGTGACTTCTCTGGAAAATTGCCCATACCATTTTGCAGGCAAGGGACACCATAACTGTATCATCTGCACTGTGGTTTGACCCCACTTCAACTGCCATGCCTCAATGCTATGAAATAGTTGGAGATGGAGATGAGTCTGATGAGACATCAGAACTCTTTGGCAGAGAAGGCTAAAGATTTTATTAAATCACAACTCCCAAGATTCCTTAGTGTTGAGCCATGATGGTTAAAATAGTGACAAATTGCATTGATTCTACAGTATAGATCAGGCACCCTCCAGCTGTTTGGGCCTTCTACTCCCAGAATTCCTGACAATTGAAGAAGCTTATTGGGGTTTCTGAGAGTTGGAGGCCCAAACAGCTGAAGGGCCACAATTTGAGGATGCCTGGCATAGATCCTCCCTAAGCCACCACTTCAGAGACCTTTTCTCTAGGCAGCAACTGAGTTGAGATTGTTGAAGGCTTTCATAGCCATTATCACTGGGTTGCTGTGAGGTTTCCAGGCTGTATGGCCATGTTCCAGGAGCATTCTCTCCTGATGTTTCACCCTCATCAATGGCAGGCAACCTCTGAGGATGCCTGCCATCGATGTGGGCAAACGTCAGGAGAGAATGCTTCTGGAACATGGCCATACAGCCCTGAAAACTCACAGGAACCTGAGTTGGGATTGTATTGGTCGCCCTGAGGGTTGATTACATCTTACCTTTTCTGACAGGTGGAGGAGGAGGTGGTACAGGCAGTGATAGCTCAGATGGGAACTGTTTCAGGCTTAACGCACATTGGAGGGGACACCCCAATTTTGAACCAGCTTCAAACTGGATTACAGTGTCTGTGCAGAACTGCTCTGAGTTGTAACCAACATGAGTTCTATGACTGCTCTGAAAAAAATAGCAATAGATCAATGGTTTTGTCAGTGTTGAATTCATCTGCTAATATCAGCATTCCACTGCAGATACTGCTGAAGAAAATGTATAAGTTGGGTTTAAGAAAGCACATCTCAAAAAGTTCTCACATCAATAGCTATTCTTGAACTTACAAAAAACCCAACTTTTTTGTATAATTATTAAAGGCCTTCAGCAATATGCAATAAATGTGATATTTCAATATGTATTATACGTTTATTGCATTTTAATAGTTTAAATTGATTTCTTAAAAATAATGCTTGATTTGGTGTCTAATGCTTTTAAACTTTTCCACCATCTGTTTAGCCATTTTGTTTTAATTTATGCTATAAACCACTTTTAAGTCCCGTTGTGGAGAAATATTACCAATAAAACTCCATGAGAGAGTTGCAGTAAGTCAAAATGACTTGACGGTGTGCAACAGATTCAGTGGGAGAAGACAGTCAAGTGCTATCGATTTCAGTGGGAACACAAGTTGACTAGTTTAATTTGGATTCAGCCTTTATGTTTATATTCAGAACACATACTAATGTTAATGATTGGTTTCATGTATATCTGTTGTTAGGGGGTGATGGTTTTCCTGGGCCCCGTGGAGCCAAAGGATATCGTGGACCTTCAGGGCCAGTTGGCACAACTGGTGCGCCAGGACCACCAGGATCGTTTGGGTTCCCTGGAATGCCAGGCCAGCAAGGACTCATGGGAAGAATGGGACCACCAGGATTTGTAGGTGAGATTCCAGACAAGGGGAAATTCCAGACTAGGGATGCTCAACTTGTATTAAGAATGGTTCAACACTGCTTTCTTTCCAGGGGCCACATAGTGATCGAGCCGTGTGCTGGTGGCAAGCAGAACCTAGTTTCAACTTCTCTTTCTCGCTGGTAACCTTTCTCCCAGGAACTCTAGTGTACAGACAGACACCTACTCATAGCTTGCACACATTTCTCCCAACACTCGCATTCTTACACTGTTCCTCTCCTCTCTCATAACTTGGAGAAGCAAATGCCTTTGAAATCTTTCCCCACTGCCCAGGTTATTAGGTATGTAAAGGTCAGCAGTCTACTAAATTATTTCTTGCATTAGTTAGTTGGGGAACTGATGGAAACACAGTGAATTTTGGAAAGTAATGATGTGTAGCTTTGTTTGTTTCCTCCCTCTTTCCTCATTGCCTGGACCATTGGTACTAGGAAGTGCTTAACACAATGCTAATTGTTCTGCTTCCCAGGCCATCATGGGCTGCGTATTTGGAGAATGCGAGGGGTCTAGAAACAGCTGCATAGTTGAGTTCTTATAATTGACTGCAAAAGGAAGTTGTTTGGATATCAAAATGGACCATTTTCCAAGTAAAAATAACCTTCCTTTTTATGTCAATGTAATATTTTAGTTTAGAAATATTACATGGTGAGTTGCCATTAACTAGTTCTTCAGTCAACAATGGCACTAAGAAAATGCAGCAGCAACAACAACAACAAAACTTTATTTACCTATATTCCGGCATATAAGACAACTGGGCGTATAAGACGACCCCCAACTTTTCCAGTTAAAATATAGACTTTGGGATATACTCGCTGTATAAGACTACCCCTCTTCCAATACACACCAAATAAAATTTTTAAAAGCATCAGATTTGATTTCAATATGGTAATTTTCCCAGAGCCACTGTATCTCTTTTTTCCATACCCCAGGCACCCCGGAAGCCTGCAGCTTGCTCTGCCCTTCACTTACACTTTCCCGGTGAGGTGCCCCTTCACCTCACCATCAGGACCGCATTAAGTCCACGAATCCTGATGAATTGATTTTCTTCTACCGTAATTGTGCAGTACCACCCTTAATGCTTTCATATAGTCGCTGCATATGGCAGGGAAATGGCCATTGCCATTTTTCAGTTCCCCCCACCATATGCGGCAACCACAGATCCTCCAATCTGATTGGAAGTTTCAGCACCCGCTCTATAAGACGACTCCTGTGTATAAGACTACTCCTGTGTATAAAACTACTCCAGTGTATAAGATGACCCCTGACTTTTGAAAAGATTTTCTTGGGTTAAAAAGTAGTCATATACACCAGAATATATGGTATATACTAGGGCTGGGCAACCAYGGAAAAATTTGTTTCTAAACTCGATTCGTTTTTAGGGGTTTTTTGCGTTTCGATTTTTAAATTAATTCCAAAATTTTCCTTAAATTTTTTTCGATATTTACGAAATTTCGTAAATTACGAATCAATTACGAATCGATTTCGAAACAATTACGAATYGATTCGTTAATGGCGGGCGCGATCGCRCAATAYGCTAAAAAAAACCTCCAAATGGGACAGGAAGCTTCCCTSTCCCTCTGTTGTTGRCTGTTGGTGTGATAATTTATTTTTTTTTCACTGAGAAAACAAACAACGACTATAAAACTTGCACCAGACATGCGGAAATAATAACGAAACGATTTAGAATCAATTATGAATCGATTTCGAAACAAATACGAAACAATTAYGAAACRAATTGAAAAAATTCGTTTCGTTTTTTAGTTGCTCTTGAATGGTTCAATATCGCTTYGTTATAAAAAAAAATAACGAATTAATAACAAATTACGAAATTAACGAACGAAACCGCCCAGCCCTAGTATATACTGCTCTATCTCCCCAAGTGGACTCAGAGCAGTTTCCAAATAACATCATCAATACATACAGAGTAAACAACATAAACATAAAATTAACAAAGCAATATAAACATAAAAAATCATAATAGCACATATATATTTAAAATAGTCCTGCCTGTTCAAGGCAATTTAAAAAGGCCAGGCTGAGGCTAGTGCAATTTCTAGAGAGCCTGGGAAATTAGGTGCAATGCTATAGCAGGCAACAACAATAATAGGTATAGTCTATGGCTGTTCAGCAAAGGACAAGAGGGATCCTCTTACCTCTGCAGGAGTCTACTGGATACCATGCAGCTGTGGACAAGTCTACATAGGGACCACCAAGTGCAGGAATGCCCAAACATGAATCAAGGAACAGGAAAGGCACTGCAGACTACTTCAACCAGAGAAGTCAGCCATAGCAGAGCACCTGATCAACCAACCGAGACACAGCATATTATTTGAGAATACAGAAATGCTGGACCACTCCAACAACCACAATGTCAAACTACACAGAGAAGCCATTGAAATCCACAAGTATATGGACAATTTCAACAGAAAGGAGGAAACCAGAAAATGAACAAAATCTAGCTATCAGTTTTTAAAAACTCTAAAATCATAACAGTAAAGAAAGAACAACAGTCAAAAACAAGGGAACTCCAGACAAGAAACAACCAAGGACAGCTAATCACCTTTCAACAAAGGATTCCCCCAGGAAGTAAGAAGCCACACCTTGAAACTGCTAGGCCATTAAATGCTAATCCAGGTGACCAGTTGAAACATTCACACTTGCCTCCAACAGACAAGAGTTCTTTCTCCCACCTGGACATTCCACAGATATTTAAACCCCATTTTCCTAGTTTCCAACAGATCTCACAACTTCTGAGGATGCCTGCCATAGATACAGGTGAAACATCAGGAGAGAATGCTTCTGGAAGATGGCCATACAGCCCAAAAAACTTACAACCCCCCAATGGCTCTTTTTATTTATTTATTTACTCATGTTTTGTACTATGATAGCATTCCATAGTCTACATTATAATCCAGTATATATTCTATATCTTTCCCACATTGTACCTTATAGGCTCACCAGGTGACAGAGGGGATCCAGGAGATCCAGGACAAGATGGTCCCATAGGCATGAAAGGTCTCCCGGGCAACAAAGGCGAAACAGGTTTCTTTGGTGCTAAAGGCAGGATTGGTGACCCAGGTCTTCCTGGGTTAGATGGGATGCCTGGTCCCCCTGGCCTCAAAGGTAATGAAAAGAACAGCAGAAATGTTCCTTAGCTCAGAGTGACATTAGTGTTCTTGTGTGTGTGTTTTTTTTTAAGTGGGGGAGAGACTGCTTTATGGCACATCTTAATCATAAAGTGACAAAAATAAATGCAATGAACTCATTAGAAATGGCCATCCATATACTTCATGAGTTGTTAATTATGCACCATTGGCATACAGTAAAAATGAAAGGCTCCTTTAATATGTTCTTTCTTGTATTGTCCTTCACAGTGATTCTGCCAATTTTGACATTTCTGTTTGAAACTGCACCCTCTTTGATGTGCAGTCCAACACCAATCTTAGTATGCCCTTCCCTGGCTTTTAAAAAAAAAAACCTATTTATTTACATTATTTTCTGTTTTCTGTTTTCTCTTGATATAGTGAGTCAAGGCAGCTAAAAGACATATAAAGCAATGATGAATAAAACAATATGAATATGTTAAAATATAAATATAAACATTAAAAACCAAGGCAGTTGTGTCATTAAAACCATTAAAATATTAAAATGCATTAAAATCCCATAGCTACTCCCAAAAGTCCAATTTTAATGAATTTGTATCCAAAGGTGATCATATTCCAGCTTTGCGCAGTACTACTTTAATCAGAAGTGTATTTCTCATTTTTAGCACCTTTGCTTTTATTTTTTATCTTTGTGCAGTGATTGGCTTTCCTAACAGAACTTGACACTTTAATATTTTGTTGTCTGTCCTGTTTTTTATACTTGTGAGACAGCATGTGCATCTTTAAACCTGACTTGCTTTAGCCTGAAAAACCAGGTAGAGATAACTCTGTTTAGATTGACTTGTGATTTCTCTTTGACCTTTTCTGACAAAAGGTGCTAAGGGCTCACCTGGAATTGGTGGTTTCAAGGGTGCTATGGGCTTCAAAGGGTGGCCAGGACGGAAAGGAGTCCATGGAGAGCGTGGTGACACTGGATCACTGGGTGTCCCCGGTCTGCCGGGCGAACCAGGATGGAAAGGTATAATTTTCTCAGTTTTGTCAAGTGTTTCCAGGGTACCTGGGATATGTTTGGATCTAGTTTTCAACACTTTGAAAAAGAAAAGAAAAATGATGTACCAAATGTTCTCATAACCAAAATATATCAAAGTATAGTACTAAGTATTATTATGTGAAGTTGAGTCCCATTTTGTTAAACGTGGATAGGAATTAAGCTTTAATTTTTCTGTCTGGGTGTCTAGGGGAAAGAGGCTACTTGTCTAGCATCATGAGGGTCCACAGAAACACTTCCGGATGATTTATCAAGATGCTCATTACTGTGATTTAATTTTTTATTTTCTTTTTGTGAGATAGAGATGTCTTTTCTACCAGCAACCCACAGCAACCACTTTCTATAGTTACTCGACTCTAACACTTGCCTTCTTTGGCTAAATTACCTTGCCAAAAATAGGGTGCGCATTAAATTCATGTAATACAGTAATCTGTATTACATGAATTTCAGCCCTCCCCCCCCCCCTCCAACATTCTCAGGATGATCCACGAGAAGGCCTTACTGGTACATTATTTAAACTGTTATGTTTATTCATATCATGATCAGATCACCATGCTCAATATATCCCATATGCATGGGGGTATTGGGATAACAATATAAAAGATTTGCTAGGGTAGATCCTCAGCCCCCCCCCCCAAATCAAGCTCAGCCCCCCCCCCCCAAATCAAACTCGGCACCCCCCAGCACTAAATTATATTGAAAGGCCATAGAACTGCTGATCACAGGAAAACATACTACGGTGGTACCTTGACTTAAGTAATTTGTTCAGTAGCTGAGTAATTAACTTAAAACGCTCTTATCTCAAAGTGAATTTTCTTATTGAAATGCATTGAAATGCTATTAATCCATCCGGCCCCCCAAATACACAAAAAAAATTGTTACACATTTTTTAAAAAATGTACTTTTTAAATCACAAATAGTGTATAAATGCACATTCACATGGAACATTAAAGAAAGAAATATCAACTTTAAAATGGTAGAAGCACAAAGTTGTGGCAAGAAAGCACATTGAGGCAACAAAATATGTGTTGGCCAGTGTAACAGCAAGGCAAAACCTGCACATTCACGTGGAACAATAAAAAGAAAGATCAACGTAAAAATGGTAGCAGCACAAATTTGTACCAAGGAAGCCCAAAGTCCAAAGTGAAGAGGCAGAAGCATCATTTTGTTCTTCATACTGTACTCAGTCCAGCCTCCCTTTTTTCCCTCCCTCCCTCTCTTCCTGAAGCCAAACATACCAGGAATAAAAACCACACAAAATCAACCAACCCAAAGTTCCTCAAAATAGACAAGAGCAAAGCAGGCAGCAGTCTCCCAAAGAGGTTACACTGTATTGTTTAATAATAAAAGATGGTGAAAAGAAATACATTCATGAGGAAATAAAGTGTTCTTGCTCTTCAGTTTTCTCATCTAAATGTATAGGTTAAATATTGAAGGATTACTTAAAAAGTGTAAACTTTTCTGAATATGTATGAGAAAACAGGATCCTGAATTTTGAGTTATAGGCTGCATAATATAAAACATTGAATTTTGCTATTGGTTGTTGTTTTGATGCCTGTTCTATATATTTTTATAATGTTCTTGTTCTTATTTTGTTTTATACTGTTGTTATGCATTTTAATATGCTACGTTTTAATTGTGTTGATAACACTTGGCCCCATGTAAGCCGCCCCAAGTCCCTTCGGGGAGATAGAGGCAGGGTATAAAAATAAAATTATTGTTATTATATTAAACAGTCTCACCTGAAGCATCACTGACAATTCATATTAACTGTATTGGGCCATATCTGAATTATTATTAAGTATTTTTCCACTTTTAAGCACCTTATGTCAGCTTTAATTGAACATGTATTCTTAATAGGTGACCGTGGAAATCGTGGTCCACCTGGAGCACCCATTAAATTTATGCCTGGCATGCTGTTAGAAGTGAAAGGGGAAAAAGGAGATGAAGGTGCAAGTGGTGTCCCAGGGGCCCCTGGATTCAAAGGTAAGGAGATGCAACATCAGAATAAATGTGGTATCACAAACTACTATAGTGTTGTTTGGACCAATTTACCACTTTTTAATTCATAAAACACTTCGTTCTGCATAACAGACAGTCTACAACAGGCATGGGCAAACTTTGGCCCTCCAGGTGTTTTGGACTTCAACTCGCACAATTCCTAACAGCCTACCGGCTGTTAGGAATTGTGGGAGTTGAAGTCCAAAACACCTGGAGGGCCAAAGTTTGCACATGCTTGGTCTACAATGTAAAAGCTTAATTCAGGGTGTAGGCAATGAAAAAAATACCTCAATACAGAAGCCATACTTGAAATGTGTATTCAATGCAATATTTTGTGCTATTTAAGAAGCGCTTAAAGTTCCACTGGCAAGAAGAGGAAAGGAATTGTTGACAATGCTCAGTCTATTACAAGGCAGAGTGTATATTATGGAAGTTTAATTATGAAGTGGGCTACTCCTAAATCAACATTTTGAACTGTCTTGTAGGCAGTAAAGGCCTGCTGGGTTTCCCTGGCCAGCCTGGAACGCCGGGTTTCCCTGGAATTCCGGGTTTTGAAAAAGGCCGGAAAGGAGACTTTGGGCTTAAAGGAGTGCCTGGTGTCCCGGGATTTCCTGGCATCCCAGGAATTCGTGGCATTCCCGGCTTCCCTGGAATCACAGGACGAAGGGTGAGCAAAATGCATGTGTGCATGCCAAGTATTTCCTTTTTATCTTCATGCTCTTCACTTCATTAGAGTTTGATAAACAAAATGCCAGAATCTTCACCACATTCTGTGAATCTACCCATAGCACACTTCCAGGGAACCAAAGCAAGCAAGCTATATGCACGTTTATTTCTTTCGTCTCTCATTTTTAGTCACACAGACTGTTCTGTTTGTCAGCACTCATTATGAAAAGGCAGATTTGGAGAGAGTTGGGGACAAACCCAGGGAGAATGAGAGGAAGGATGATATCCGTACTTATTAATATCTTGCTTTCCATTTTCAAATGTGACAGGGAGAAAAGGGTTTTCCAGGGATTGGCGGTTTACCTGGTGAAAGTGGCCAGCCTGGGGAAATCGGTGAGTTTATTTATATAATCTCCAAGCTTTTAAAAAAAAGAAGAAGAAGAATTACATGCAGTTGTTTGACCAAACCAGGATAAGCAAAATTATCTAATTTGTGAGTCTGACTTCTCATTTCTGTTTATACTTTGTATATTTTCTTTTGATTTCATCTGACACTCTTTTTGTTGTAATAAAAGTAATAAGAGGTTTTGTAGCAGATTAGGAAAGATATTAGGTATCTCAAATTACTCCTCAAGGCAGAAAGCAAGTGGTTCCCAACCTTTTTTTGACCAGGGACCACTTTGACCAGGGGCCACTCTCCAACAATAGTGCCAAAAGGGTTACGAATTGGTTTTTGGTCAACTTTTGATTCAATTTGGTTATTTGGGGTGCTGATTCAGAAAACTGCATTGATAGACCACATCAGCTCTAGTTGCTGATACAGAACATATGCCATCCAGTCTTTGCTATTTGCTCATCCACAAAAAAAAAAAATATTTAACAAGCCTCAGCACTATAAGACCAGTCATTCTCGTTGCAACAATGTAGTAACAGTGGGGCCGCGGATCAGATTTTAGTACTTGCGAACTACTGGTGGTTCACAGACCACAGTTTGGGAACCTCTGGTTTAAAGAGAGCAGCTGCTTCCTCACCCTTATGTGGGTTGTGCTAAAGTAAGATGGCAAATTGGACATAGTTTTATTCATTTTTACATCATGTAAGATATAAGATAAATGTCCTGTATCAGTCAATGGAGACTGTGTCAATAGGGTCCTACAGACTGCGGTAAACCTGTGGGACTCCTTATACTCTACATCAGGGTTTCTCAAACTATGTTCCTCCAGATGTTTTGGAGCTTTTTGTGGGCAATTCCTAACAACTGGTAAGCCGAATGGGATTTCTAGGAGCTGAAGTCCAAACCATCCAGAGGAGCACAGTTTGAGAAACACTGCTCTAGAGAAACACTACACACACACACTATATTCCAGATATCTCTTCTGGCATGAGCAAGAAGGGTATTCCCACATTTTTACTACATTTGCAACACCATCCCCACATTTGTAATACACACTTGTGAAAGTGACACCATATATGTTAGAGAAGTAACTAACATACCTCACTTTTTTAACAAGGGGAGCACTCCCCTTAGGCCCCTTCTACACATTGGGATAAAATCCACATTGAACTGGATAATATGGCTGTTTGGACTCAGATAATCCAGTTCAAAGCAGATATTGTGGATTATCTGTCTTGATATTCTGGGTGTGTGGAAGGGCCCTTAGACTTTTCCCAGCTTTGTCTTAATCATCATCGTTTATATATTTTCCCCAAATTAAGGTGTATATAAATGAAAACAAATATGAAAACACAAGCAGAAACACACAAAAAGTTATTATTAAACTGTAGAAATAAAGTCATATAAAATAGGTCAAACGGCTAGAGAAGAATGGCACACTGCAGATAATTCCCTAAAGCTACTTGAGAAAGAAAAGTTTTAATCTGCCAGTGGAAAAACAACATAGAGGGAGAAATCCTAGTCTTCTTGAGAAGGAAGTTCCAAAGCTTGGAAGATGCCACTGAGAAGACCCTCTTGTGTTTCCCCACTAGAAGTACATGTGAAGGTGGCACGTTAACACGATTCCCTTTTCTAGAGGATGTTGCTTCTCTTACCAGCCTTGTCTGGGAGGCTGGGAGCTCCTCTCCAGCAGAGGAGTCCAAGTCCATGTTAACCCTTCTTCTTTCTGAACAGAGGGCAATCCTGGAATACTTACTTATTGTTTCCAGAGTAAGAGATTTGTGGCAAGAAAATGTGTGGTTAAATTTTCACACGAAAAGGTATTCTCTAAAGATAAATGCACGTGCATATACAGAAATAATACAGATATTAACATTAATAATAATAATAATAATAATAATAATAATAATAATGATAATATTTTTGCTTCTAACAGGCAGTACAGGAGATACTATAAATCTGCCAGGAAGACCAGGTTTTAAAGGGGAAGCTGGCATACCTGGACCTAGTGGTATGTATATACATGTGTTGGTATGTAACACTGAATAGTTTCCTGATAGAGCTGCTTTTTCTCAGTTTGTCTCTAAAATGCTAGAAGATCCCTTTGCATACTGATAACCCAGACTAACATAGGTATGTGTTTGTGTTCTCTCCTCAGAAGTAAGTCCCATTAAACTCCCATAAAACTATGCGTAGGATTGCAACTTTCTTTACTTTAGATTTCAGTCCAAGTTATCTGAAACAATGAAATGATAGGCTGTGTGAGCAAAGAATTTTAGTCACATGTCAATATATGTTTAATGAAATTGAATCTGAGTCAGTAACCATATATGTAGACAATGTTTACTTTAAAACATTTAACTATATTTAAAGAAAAAAGTATAAATAGCACAGCCTCAATAATACAAATACAACTCATTGAACAGAATATACAGAGAGTTACATTTCAGTGACATGCTTTAACATCTGGGTGCACATTATTAAGGCCTAATCTATCAAGCTGACAGATATATTGTGAAGCAAGAGAATCTCTTAGATTCCACTAACAAAACCAGTATAAGCTGTTAATTTCGTCCCAAGGTACGTGCAAGCCCCCCTGAATAAATGCTGCCACAAAACCCTGTGTTTGTTTCACTTTAAGGTCACTGTAAGTCAGAAATGACTGGAGGGTATTCATGGTGAAATATGAAAACTGTAAGAATAGCCAGATAAAGTAGAGCGTGACAGGGTGATCCAACGTGGTAGTGACTTTCCCTGAGAAGATGACTTTCCATTATTTTTGCAGGACTGAAAGGAGCCATTGGAGGAAAAGGTGATGTTGGTGATCCAGGATTTTCTGGCAGCGAAGGTCTGAAGGGCATTCAAGGCTCCCCGGGTTCAAGAGGACAAGGAGGTTATTTTTTTCCTTATTTTTAAAATACAGTAGCAAGGTAGATAACAAAACAAGGGGAAACACAAGTAGTAGCATTTACAAATAATAGTTTGCTTACCTAAAACTGGGTTTCTTTTAAGAGGTTGCATGTGAATCTCGACATTTTTGTTATTCTGCTTATGTATACAGCTAAATGGTTTTTTATGTGAGCATCATCACTACCTTGCACATGCCCCGATCTACTTCCTGCTTATTTCCTATAGAGCAGGCTTAGGCAAACTTCAGCCCTCCAGGTGTTTTGGACTTCAACTCCCAGAAATCCCAGCTAGTTTATCAGCTGTTAGGAATTGTTGGAGAGCCAAAGTTTGCCCATGCCTCCTATAGAGGTGGGGGTAGGACAACAAGAGAAGAGCACATTGTGTGGATTTACAATGCCTACCTGGAAAAGTACAGTTACGAGTTGGCAATTGATTTTTCATTGTGATTTTTGTGACTTACACAAATGGGGGAAGCTATGAGGTTCCTGCCAGGGTAGTTGATATGTTATGCCAACAGTGATAAAAGAATCCCATATCCAAATGTTGCATCAAAGTTAGTCATATTTGCAGTGCTGAGTAAATAGGGAAGGCTGTAATTACATCCTACCTAGCACATGTCCAGAAGAGGAAGCCTAGACAAAAAGGAAGAGTAATTGTACTGGACACTCAATTGGACAGGCATTGAGTAGAAACTGGTAAGAAGACTATTAAGCATCTGGCAAACCCAGACTAATAGTCTTTGAGATTTTCTAATACAGTGGTTCCCAACCTGTGGGTTCCCAGATATTTTGGCTTTCAACTCCTAGAAATCCCAACAGCTGGTAAACTGGCTGGGGTTTCTGGGAGTTGTAGGCCAAAACACCTGGACCCACAGGTTGAGAACCACTGTTCTAATAGGTTGTGTTCAGTTCACATAAAAAAACAACTAATATTAGAGAGGCAATGAATGTAGCTTTCATTCTCTATACATTAAGGGCTGCTGGGAAGGGAGTAGGAAGCAAAATATATTTTGGCCAGGTGAAAAGCTGACACCTATTTTGGCAAAAAGTGAGATGTCCAAATTCAAAATAACATAGCGATGAAACTGAAGAAAGGAAAATCAAAGTAAATAAGAAAGAATTCAGACCCATCTTGAAGAATTCAGATTTTATACTCTTTAGTAAGCAGAAAGCTTTGGGTTGTATACATACATATTTGGACAGGCCAAATCTCTTAGTCGTATTAAGTAACTTCAGTACCTTTGCATATGTGTGTGTGTGTGTAGAAAATATCCCTTTTTTGCCTATGTATGTCAGCGCCCATTGCTTTCTTTGGCAAAGATTTTGTACAATTATAATTTTGTAATCATTGTCTCCGCAAAAGAACAGAATTTGAAACCTGACATCATTATCCAGACCTGTGGATTTCTTTAGTGACTCAGTTCAGGTTGCCTCTCTTAAAGAGTTCTCTTAGTACACGGCCAGATGTTTACTTTCTATGTTACTTTTTAAATAGCAGGGACACAAGACCCTTAATGCAAGCGTTTGTCCTCCCAAAGCAGTGCTTTTTCAGGCAAAGTGAAAACAATCCTTCTGCTTTTAAAAATCCCTTTTTAACCAACACTGTGGCAAATAGCTTTCATTAATATTACACAAACACAACATTATATAACGTTCAAATAATTAGTGCAATGATTGGTTAATGAACACTGGAATGGAACAATGGATGACGAATCTGGAACATGTTTTTGATGATGAGACGACAGTGAATGGGTATTGTAATAACTGTTTATTAATTGTGTAATGTGTTAGGTTGTTAACTGTTTTTATATTGTAGCACTGAATTTTTGCTGTTCGTATTTGTTGTGAACCGCTGTGAGTCGCCTTCGGGCTGAGAACAGCGGTATATAAGTAAGGTAAATAAATAAATAATAAATAAATATATAAGGATGACACAAATTGTTGAATGAGGAGTGTGGTAGTAAATCTTTCCAAGCTGTCATCCAGACTGACCTTGCATCAACCAGCCATGGATTCTGCTCTAACCACACAGTCACATGGTCAGAAAATTACCTAGATGCAAGACGGCGAAAGAGTCATGTACAATCCCTGCTATAACATTATAGTGGGTATTAGGAATTGTATGTGTGCATTACAAAGAATGTATAAACAGTCTTAGTTGTGGTAACAATGTGATGGATGAGTAAATATTTCTTCCACAGGATTCCCGGGGCAGCCGGGGTTGAAAGGCTTGCCTGGACAGCCAGGTATTCCTGGATCATCAGGTGAAAAGGGAAACCCTGGGCAAATTGGGTTTCCAGGAGTAAAAGGTAAATTATTATGTATCCTTTCCCAGCCTGTTTGCAATAAATGATAAAATATTTAAAGATGTTTCACAAGTCCTCAAAGCCAAAACTACATGCTATGATACATGAATGCATTGCTTTCCATTTAATTCTCTAGTAGCAACCATGGGAGTGATGGGTGCTGTAATGAGATCGGTGACATCAGGGAAGCAGTGTTTACCACTTTCATGTTATTTTCTCCAATGATCCACTCTGCCTTTGTTACAAAAACATGGGCACATTGGGATGTAGAAATTCCTTAAAGCGGGGGGCAGACCGGGAGGGAAAACCAGTGATAGATTGAGACAAGCTACCTGGTTAATACAGGTTGAGTATCCTTTCTCTAAAATGTCTGGGACTAGAAATGTTTTGGATTTTTTCTTATTTTGGAAAACTGTATTTGCATATTCATACGTAATTAAATATCTTAGAAACTGAACCTAAAACAAACATGGAATTCATTTATGTTTCACATACACCTGATGTACTTATTTATTATTTGTCATATTTATATCCCACACTTCCCACCCTAAAGGGGACTCAGAGCAGCTCACATAAAGGCACAATTCGATGGCACACAAACATATGTTCAACAAAATAAACATATACATTAAAACCAACTGCTAAAAACATCTCAAACATTAAAATTATAAAAATGACATAGTCCAATATAATAGTTCAAGGTCATTCCAGTTATCAGTGCACCTGCATTCACTTATTACATAGCACTATAACTCTAAAAATGTTTTCAAATGCATTGAGATTTTTTTTGTTTAAATATGTTTTGGATTTTAAAAGAAAGCCACTTGAGAACAGGAATAACATGCTGTAGCTGGTGCTGTGAATTACCAGAAAATAATCCTGAATAACATAAGTGTTGTTTATTTATGAAAACTACTGCAACAAATACTATAGCCTCTCATCATAACGTCTCCATCTGCAAGAGGCCAGCCATAAAATTATGTGTTTTTAAACCTCTCTCGGGTAGCTTATGAACAATGTAATACAGAGAATAAATTATAGGTAAAGGTAGTGGTTGGAGATCTGATTGAAAAGAGAAAAGCACCAGCTGAGAGAAACAAAGTAAAAGGATTTTTATTACAAGAATTCCATTGTAAGACAGAAGTTTTATATATATAAGGTACTACGCTAATCTGCTTCGACTACTAAGCATGTTGTAGCTGAGAGAGGACCGGCAGGAAGAAAAGAGGTGAAAAAACATTCCTGGGAATTATCACTACATAGAGATCGATTCAGGTGGACATAAAGGGAAGACATTTTGACTCACCCAGCCTTCTCATTGTAGGACTGATGCTCCTTCTGAGGAATTCTTGTGCTAGTCACTATTGAATTTTTCACAAAAGCTCATGGCAAACAAATTGATTAGGAAAAACACTGCTAGATTGGAATGCAAAACATTCTGCTAAAACATTAGAAGCTATCTAAATTTCAAATGCGATTTGATGTTGCTTTAAAATCATGGGTCACGAAGCAAAACCCAGAATTTTTCCAAAATGGTTTTGATGCCTGGGTTAAATGATGGCGCAAATGTGTACAAATTGATGGTGACTATGTTGAACAGTAGTTTTGTGTAGTGGATAGTTCTGGCTAGGATTTGTAGCAACTTCTGCTGTTACATGTTCATTTATAATGTTTTTATGACACAGGAGGCAAAACTTTTTGACCCACCCTCGTATATTTGGGCTGGAGTAACACTTTAAAAATGTATGTGTTCCTACTTACATAGAAATTCAACTTAAGAACAAACCTATCTTGTTTGTAACCTGGGGACTGCCTGTAATAGCAATCTTCTTAATGCATCCTGCAGAATACATTGAGGCTTATCATTATGTGACAAATGCGAGGAAAATTACACCCTACATTTTTTTAAAAAACAATCTTTTGTTTTCATCTTTTTTACATGAAGATATTTTCTATAAAACATTTTAGCAACAGTTTATTAACAAATCTTTACATAATATGCTGTGTGGTACTTTGGCAGGTCCGCCTGGCCCCCGAGGACTCAGTGGATTAGATGGTTTATCGGGAACAAAGGGCTTGCCAGGATCACCAGGTATGTTCACATAATATTGGCTCTCACTGAGATGGGCTGCCTTACCTTTGTGGACAGTTGAGTTTGATGTCATGTGGGTTTTATACAAACATTTCTGAAGCTGGTAGGAAAATCCTATATGTGAATGTGTGAACAAATTAATGTTTCCCATCTCCTTATTCCCATCAACCTCATGAAACAGGTCCTGATGGATATGGCCTCCCAGGTTTCCCAGGTATTTGGGGTGACAAAGGTACAGTCGGAGAACCAAGTGCTATTGAAGGCAGTATAGGACCTCCAGGTCAGAAAGGAGAAATAGGCGATCCAGGTGAGTTTACAATTGAATGATATTAAAAATATCTGTTTGATTGGCATATGGTTTAACATGATGCCGTCATGCTCTCTGTAACAAATATCCCTTAGCCAAAAGCACTTGCCAAACTGTAAGTAAATACAGTTGTAATGTTAAAAATGAGCATTTACTCTGTAAATGGAAGTCAGACATCATAAGGTAGCCCTGATGTGTGAAATATAAACCAATACTGCAGAGCAGAAATAGTATACTCTCTAGCCTGAGCAGCTCAGAGCATGAAATTCAAATCATAGTTTACCTTTTAAAACTTGTAACAGCAGGATATGGCACAGAAGAGTGGCATGACAATTCCTGTGTGATAAGTATTAAAAAACACCAACCTCTGGATTATATTTTTTAATTCTGTGTAAACAGAGTAAAACAAATCTTAATTTAAAGCAGGGGTCCTCAAACTAAGGCTTGAGGGCTGAATACGGCTCTCCAAGGTCATTTATCCGACCCTCGCTCAGGGTCAACCTAAGTCTGAAACGACTTGAAAGCACACAACAATCCTACCTTATCAGCCAAAAGTAGGCCCACACATCCCATTGAAATATAAATAAGTTTATATTTGTTTAATTTGTTCTTCATTTTAATTATTGTATTGTTTTAAGTGTTTTTTGCACTACAAATAAGATATGTACACTGTGTATAAGAATTCATTTTTTAAAAATTATAATCCGGCTCTCCAACAGTTTGGGGGACTGTGACCTAGTCCTCTGTTTAAAAAGTCTGAGGACCCCTGATTTAATGAGAGAGGATCTTTGCAAAGCATCTTTGCAAAGCATATAACTCTAGGTTGTCTTTAACAAAAGAGAACATGTCTGTTGGCGAGTGGCTTTCCTTTAATTTTCTACATCATTATTATCCCTTTTGGCTATAAAAGGTTGGGAGGTTTTTGGTACTCAAGGGTTTTGTGTCCATCTTTTCTGAATGTATGCTTCTAGCGGATGCTAATCCATTTGCAATATTAGGCTAGCAGTGGGGTTCACATCATTTCCTCCTATGAAGTGAAATTGCCAGGGGATATTTAGATGGGAAATGAGTAAGAAATAGGGTGTTGAATGCGTTTTGGATGTTCCAGAATGGATAGATAGAGAATGACCCCCAGTTAATGATGACTGAAGAGAGCCAGTAGATTCTTTCCACTCGTTCTGTTATTAGACCCAGGGTAACGTGGAGGCCTGTTGAAACACAGTGCTGGACAATTTGTCGAAAGGAATTGGAAAGTGTCTAATTAATCACCCCATCTGTACTGCCATATCCAGTAGTCATCTTTTAATTTCTAATTGGCAGGGATTCGAGGCCCAGCTGGTATTTCTGGGCCTGATGGAAGTCCAGGCTTTCCTGGCTTTTCCAATATATCAGGAATACCTGGCGACATCGGATCACCAGGCTTGGATGGAGTACCAGGTAACATAGCACTCCTGTTACAACTATTAGTTATGATATGAGTATGGTGTCAACATTTCAACTTTTTACAGCACTTTCATTCAAACAGTCACACCACCATAGTGCTCAACCAGGACGTCAGCATTTTTCTCTCACCACAAAAGAAGATAGACAAATGTTCTGTATGTTGTCAAAGACTGGGTTGCTGTAAGACAAAGAACTCTTGCCTGCCCCCTTTTGTTGCTCTTTATTTACGGTCCTCTAAAATCAGGAGGCGCTTACTTCTTGGGAGGAGAGCAATGACCAAACTTGATAAAATAGTGAAGAGTAGAGACATCACACTGGCAATGAAGATCCACATAGTTAAAGCAATGGTATTCCCCGTAGTAACCTATGGATGTGAGAGCTGGATCCTAGGGAAGGCTGAGCGAAGGAAGATAGATGCTTTTGAACTGTGGTGTTGGGGAAAAGTTCTGAGAGTGCCTTGGACTGCGAGAAGATCCAACCAGTCCATACTTCAGGAAATAAAGCCTGACTGCTCATTGGAGGGAAGGATAGTAGAGGCAAAGATGAAGTATTTTGGCCACACCATGAGAAGACAGGAAAGGTTAGAGAAGACAATGATGCTGGGGGAAATGGAAGAAAAAAGGAAGAGGGGCCGACCAAGGGCAAGATGGATCAATGGCATCCTTGAAGTGGCTTGACCTTGAAGGAGCTGGGGATGGTGAGGGCTGACAGAGAGCTCTGGTGTGGGCTGGTCCATGAGGTCAGAAGCGACTGAACAAATAAACAACAAAAATCAGAACAGTAAATAAAGAGCAAAAGGGGGGGAATTCCAGACAAGGATCGGTCAGGGCCAGCTAACAACTACCAACAAAGGATTCTCTCAGGCAGTAAGAAGCCATACCTTGAAACTGCCAGGCCATTAAATGCTAATCGAAGTGACCAGTTGAAACATTCACACCTAACTCAAGCAGACAAGAGTTCTTTCTCCCACCCTGGATATTCCGCAGATATATAAACCCCACTTGGCTAGTTTCCAACAGACCCCTCAACCTCTGAGGATCCCTTCCATAGATGTGGGCGAAACATCAGGAGAGAATGCTTCTGGAACGTGGCCATACAGCCCGGAAAACTCACAACAACCACAAATGTTCTGTATTTTACACTTGCACATACACACACGTTTCCTCTCCTCCACCCAAGCAGATAGGCAGTGTTTCTTTTCACTTCCTCGTGGATTCCTAGCTTTGTGCGTACCTATCCCCATCTCCATGTTTTAAAAAATTACCAACAAGAATGACTTTCCCAGTCATTCCAACTTTGCTTTCTCTGCTATATCAATATATCCTAGAGGAATTCCAGAACATACTAGAACATCCCTCTGTCAAAGGTTTCATCAGCAGGAAACAGGTAACAATTTGATGGTAATATGAATGGTAATAAATCGACTTACGTACATCTGTAGAAATATATTTATGCAAAGATGAGTGGCACATCTTGAAAAAATACTCATCATTGAAATGTATTGTAATGTTTCTTTTTTGCTTTTTATCAATGTATGTATTTTATATATGGCATCGAATTGTGCCGACTTTGTATGCCGCCCTGAGTCGCCTTCAGGCTGATATGGGCAGGATAGAAGTAGTGTAAATAAATAAATAAATAAATAAATGCTTGAATCATTTAATTAATCTGAATATCTAAACCACATGTTAATCTTCTAGGCTATGCAGGAGCTCCAGGGCTTCCTGGGCTAGATTCTTTACCTGGAGCTAAAGGAGAAGCGGGAAAAATGGGTGTCATTGGAGAAGATGGTCAAAAGGGACTTAGAGGAGACCCAGGCCTAGCTGGGAGACCTGGAATACCAGGTTTCCCTGGAGCAAGAGGTAAGATGGCAGAACTCATGATTGAAAACCATTCTTTCTAACTCAATATATATTTAATAACACATCTGCTTCATGGTTTTACCTTGAAGGGCATAAAGGTGAACAAGGAGTCATGGGCTTTGTTGGCGTACTGGGATTTCCTGGTGAAACTGGCCCCACTGGACCCAAAGGAGACAGGGGGGCTATTGGTGAGTCAATGTTTTTACTGTTCGTTCAACATTTAGAAGACAGCCATCTTCCAAAAATGCTTAAGATAAACCATACAAAACTGCAGTCTTCTTTTGAATGTAAACCCCAAGTCTCTCATCTCTCTTGAGATATCGTACAAGTTCCCAAAATGTTCTCATTTTTAAAGTTTGTTCCCTATTTTTTTCATAAACAATAACTAATAAGAAAAAATGGCTTCTTTTTCCAACAAAGTAGATGGTAGATATTACTGAATCACTACTAACCCCTCTAACCTATGTGTTTGAGCAGAGAAATACTTGAGGAAAAAAATACTTCTTTGCATGAGACCTGCCTAGGAGACTGATGGATTGTGCTTCCATTACTGCCTCACTCCTTCTCCTGCCACCAGCAATGGTTCTCACGCACAAACCACCATTTGCCTTCTCACTCAGCCTATTGTCTTTCCCTAATACTGCCCACTTTACTGGTTGGCATACACCCTACACCGTAACCATTCATTACAGAGACTAGCAGCATCTCTGCTACGTACTGTATGGTTACTGAATGAACAGACACTGTATGGCAGAGTTGAGGTGGGAGGCTGACCCCAGTGCAAGCTAGTAGGACTTCACATGCCAGTCATGTCTTGGAACAAAGGGAACAGTCAGCGAGCAAATATTTTGTTGTTGAGAGGCAGCAGTGAGCCATTTGCTAGCTGGCTGTTTGGCAGAAAGATACAAGCTCGGGGAAATAACTGGTCCATAGAAGGGGGTGGCTGCTGCTATAGCCTCCATTTGTGCTCTTGAGAGGACCCTACTTTTCTACTTCCTAAATTGGAAAAATACAGCTGTGGACGCATAGAAATTTTTGTTTTTTAGGAGAGGGTTGGATAGCATGCAAAGTCTTGTTAACCAAGAGAAATAGCAGAGAAAAGGAAAAGGGTAACATGTGGAAGGGGCAGTTTACCTATATAAACCAGTTGTGGTGGCGCAATGAGTTAAACCCTTGTGTCAGCTGAACTGCTGACTTGAAGACCTGGAGGTTGGCCGTTCGAATCCATGAAACAGGGTGAGCTCCTATCTATCAGTCCCAGCTTCTCATGCAGGGACATGAGAGAAGCCTCCCACAGGATGGTAACACATCCGGACGTCCTCTGAGCAACGTCAATTCTCTCACACCAGAAGTGACTTGCAGTATATTCTCAATTCGCTTTTGACATGATAAAAAAACCTATATGATGGATAAAGTGGGTGTATGACTATGTAAGGAGAATGGATAGGACCACAGCAATGAGAAACAGGAGGAGGAGATGAGGTTATGGAGCATGAAGAGTCAGAAGCGAATGAACAAATAAACAACAACATTTGCTCTCAGTGCCCTGTTTTATTGCTACACTGTAAACCAAAACAGAAATTACAGTATTTGTAACAATACAAAGTTTTTAAAAGTTTGGAAACTTCGTTATGGAAGAAAGAGTGCAAACTGAAGACAATTACCTTGTTTTGCATTTTTAACTTCTAGGGTTTCAAGGTCCTCCTGGTTCTCCCGGATTGCCCCCAACCCCCCCTAAACTGGTGGCTGAGCAGGGGACACCAGGTGCCCATGGAAACAGGGGGCCTTCAGGTCCTTTTGGTGAAATGGGCCCTCAGGGTCCACCTGGAGATCCAGGTAGGAGATGATTCTTCATGGCAGTTGTGGGCTCTATGGCAACTTATTTCTCATCGTCTAAACCATGTAGCACCCACTTTCAGTTACAAAGCATGTTTTGTGAACATGTCCCATATAGGAATGTATATGAAAATGTTTCAGCTAAATCTGTCAGTCACGCAGGTTTTTTTCTATAATGGTTCTCTGTGGAAAAGACTGGGAACTAGTGGATTTGACAGTTCTAACGTGAATACTGACATGAATATCCAGTGTTACTGGTCTGATTTGACTACCATATTTTCTGGCGTATAAGACTACTTTTTAACCCAAGAAAATCTTCTCAAAGTCAGGGGTCGTCTTATACACGGGAGTCGTCTTATAGAGCGGGTGCTGAAACTTCCAATCCGGATTGGAGAATCTGTGGTTGCTGCATATGGTGGGGGGAGCTTAAAAATGGCAGTGGCCGTGTCCCTGCCGTATGCAGTGACTGTATGAAAGCATTAAGGGTGACGCTGTATAAGTACGGTAGAAGAAAATCCATACAACAGGATTCATGTACTTAATGCAGTCCTGATGGTGAGGTGAAGGGGCGCCTCATCAGGAAGGTGTAAGTGAAGGGTGTTGCAAGCTGCAGGCATCCAATATGGAAAAAAAGAGATAGAGTGACTCTGGGCCCAGAAAAACACACCTTTTTTACCTGTCTGGCCTACCTTTGTATCCTATTACCATACCACCTCCTCTGTTTCTCAGATCTCACTCCTAAAGACTACAGTGAAACGGTGCAGGTGCGCATGTGCGAGATCTGAGAGGCAGAGAAGGAGGTACAGTAATAGGAAAATTACCATATTGAAATCAAATCTGATGCTTTTTAAATTTTTATTTGGTGTGCATTGGAAGAGGGGTAGTCTTATACTGCGAGTATATACCAAACTCTATATTTTAACTGGAAAAGTTGGGGTCGTCTTATACACCCAGTCTTATATGCCGGAAAATACAGTACATTCCCTTCCGTATTTACTCAAGTCTAATGCATATCTTTTTTGGCTCAATTACATCACTAAATTAGTGTGTATATTACATTAGATTTCCACACATGAAGCAGTCAAGATTTTGAAGGCCTTGTGAATGAGGCCAGTTGGGAACTGTGCACAGTGAAAAGTTTGCCAGTTTCGGCCTGTCAGAGGGCTGTGGCTTCCCCATACCTAAAAGCTGTTCCATTGCCTGCCTCTGAGGCAATCTTGCCTTGCCTGGGCCTATTGTCAAGGAGGCAGGGAGCGGAACAGCTGACAGGCAAAGGGAAGCTATACCCCTTCATCAAGTTGGGGCTGGTGAACTCACCAGCCTTGCACAGTTCCCAATTGGCCTCAAAGGTCTCATGCATCAGGCCAGTTGGGAACCACACAAGGCTGAGCCCTGGTTTGGGAGGGGGCTGTGACCAAAGATAAGGAGAGGGTGGTGCTGCAACAGATGAAGGGGAGTGGATAGCAATTATTGCCAGTCGAGATGGTGTTGAAGTAGTTGTTTGACTCCATACACAATAGCTTCTTAAATTCCTGTGTTCCTCTGTCTCGAGAGATTTTGTTTTGTCAGTCACACATTGTTGCAAATTATTTCTACAGGTAATCTCATTCTTTTCCATAAAATAATCCCATCCTTGCAGTCAAATTCTGCCATATGTATTTGGCTACACTGCTTTTTCATGGAAGATTGAGGTGAACATAATGCATAATGAAAACAGTGAAAAATAGATCTAGTCCATCCATTGTCTTTCAAACACTCCCCCATGTGAGACACTCACCAAGAACTAGAGCCATGCTATTAGTTTTGTCATTGAAACCATGATAATTTCCTCAGAGCTTAAACTGGTTTTTACCTTTGCCCATGAAATGGCTTGGATTATAATCCAGTTTAATTTTTTTAAAAGGCTTTAGAGGCGTATCAGGTAAACCGGGACCCCAAGGAAGAAATGGAATATCAGCATTTCCTGGATTTAGAGGTGATCAAGGGCAAATAGGACTGCAAGGCCCAGGGGGCTTTGAAGGTAAAATAGCATCACGTACAATCTTTCTCCTTCTACATCTTTGTAGGAATTTCTAATTTTTGTATCTTGTAAGCTTTCTTACATCTGTTAAATCAGATATGCATATCTAGGTGTAAGGGTGGTGGTTTGGAAGCGGGATCATGATTTTTTTTCCCTTCCTCTTTTTATTTTTCTTTGAACTGTGGTGGTTTGGGAGTGGGTGTTAACCTATTATTCCTACTTTCCTATCTCCTTTCCTTGTAACCTTATATAACTTCAATAAAGATTATTTTTTTTAAAAAGGAAGCTGGATCATGATTCAGCATCCAAATCCCTACTTGGCCATGGAAGCCCACCAGGTGACCTTGAACAAGTCACACTCTAGAGGAAGACAGATACAAATTGGGATTCCATACCTGGTTGCTTGAAATTGATTCCTACATAGGGAATGAGAGTGAAAGAAGGTATTTAAAAGGGTACCCTAAAGTGACATTTTATAAAAAGTCAGACTTTTTTTAAGAATTCAGTCACTTTGTATCTGAGTAAATATCTTTTGCCTGCAGGACATGGTTTACCATTGCTTTTTCCACAGATAATCACATCTAAGACTAAGTGGATTGATGTAGAAGCTGGCACCTATTCTGCCATAAGTTCTTCCCACTTTCATGGAGGGTCTTGCTCCACTAGCCCCTGTGATATAACATAAGTTACATGTTCAAAAGAAAAGAATGCATAGCCATAATGCAGCCCACTTGAGATTTTCACTACTTCAGAATTAACAATATTTAGCTTTGATTGGATTCTAATGATATTTTCCACATTAAGTCTTTAAAATCAGTGGGTTTACAGGTCAATGTTTTCCTTAACCAGTCTTAAAATCAGTTATTTATACCCCTTCCTTCTTTAGGTGGTCCAGGTGAACCAGGTACCACTGGCCCGCCAGGTATGCCAGGACGCAGTATTAACATTGGATATCTTCTGGTAAAGCATAGCCAATCGGACCAAGAACCCATGTGCCCTGTGGGCATGAACAAACTGTGGAGTGGCTACAGCTTGCTATATTTTGAAGGACAAGAAACCGCACATAACCAAGATCTAGGTATGCATATGTGGACTGAGAATTTTTACTTCCTTTTTTTAAAAAAAATACTTTTTTGGAGTATTTCAAAATGACCAGAAGAAACTGTGATCTCTAGGCAACATATGTGGAATTTCATATCAATTGAAGTAAATGTACTGATATAGATTTTTATTATAATTGGAATTTTGATCAGCTTAATAAGAAATGATTTTCAGTTCAATAATTGGAGCAATCAACATTCTGCAGAGACCAGGTGAAAATGATACTGCATTTGTATTTGATGCTCTTTTCTCATATTTTCAGTTATTTCAGTATTCTTCCACAAGTGAAAGTTGGAAGGCAGTTGTGACATTAATTCATTAAATCTCTGTTAACTGTATCCTAGGGCCCTTCCACACAGCCATATAACCCAGAATATAAGGGCAGAAAATCCCACAAGATCTGCTTTGAACTGGCTTATTTATCTGAGTCCACACTGCCATATATTCCAGTTCAAAGCAGAAGATGTGGGATTTTATTCAGCGGTGTGGAAGGGGGGGGGGGAGGCTAGATAATTAAAAGCTGTTTTAGTTTGGATCATTTTACCAGCAAAAATGCATTATCGCAATATAATGTGACTACTACAGCTGTTGTGGTGTGAGAGCCAACACAGTAGGATCGTGGAACAGTGTGAATTTCTGACTGCTGTCAAGGGAACAATGTGGCCAAAGCTGGAGGAGACCTGGGAACTGCTTACCAGCACATGCTCTGCCTTTGTAATCTATTAACGAATTCAATGTGAATACAGATATGTGGCATCTAAACTCAACATAATGGAAAAATTGCTTGTGTTAACAATTATTTTCCAGTAGTGAAAACCAGAACCCCTTAAAAAGGTTTGCTCCTCTTTCTGGCCCCACTACAGGCAGACCTTTGAGGAGCACCCTATAGTGAAATTTTGTGAGATCAAATTAAACTATGTAACAGAATTTGAAAAACTGATAATGGTTTGGTCCTGTTTAATTGTGTGGTACTTACTTTAAAATAGCTGTTACACTCCAGAAACTTAGTTTTCGTGGTTCCCACAAACTATTTTGAATTGGTTGAAACTTTGAGATATTCATTAAAACACTATAGCAAAATGTGTTGCAGGGTGTTCCACAAAAACAAAGTTTTTGCAGTTAGGAAATTACATTTATAATCCAGGAACAAAAATCGTGTTCCATAGTGTTATCAGCTAATACTTTAAAATCTCCTAGGAAGTGAAGAAGACAAAGGATTTTTTTTTTTTGTCATGTCAGGAGCGACTTGAGAAACTGCAAGTCACTTTTGGTGTGAGATAATTGGCCATCTGCAAGGATGTTGCCCAGGAGATGCCCGGATGTTTTGATGTTTTACTTTCCTCGTGGGAGACTTCTCTCATGTCCCTGCATGGGGAGCTGGAGCTGGCAGAAGGAGCTCACCCACGCTCTCCATAGATTTTGAACCTCCGACCTGTCAGACTTCAGCCCTGTCAGTACAAGGGTTTAACCCATTGCACCACTTGACAAGGAGAAGCATAGCATAAGAAAAAAAAGAGCTTTCCAATGTTGACAGCTGGTAGTATAATGAACCAGTGCTAGCAGTGGTCAAATAACCTTTTTGCTGAGTGGAAAGGATGTTTTTATTTCACTTTTGAAAATGAATGTAAGAACCAGTGTTCCCTTTCCCATCAATGAAAGACTGAAAATCCTGATATGGGACAATTCAAGGGGGGGGGAAACAAACGGCTTGTAGCTTAGGTATTAACTAACTATTACTTAACTTTCTGTTGGAGGACTTCCTGAGAAATAAGCCTTCAGCAAAGGGAAAGCTATCCAATTCAAAGTGGGGTGGATTTCCAAGTGGTTGCCTGCCAGCGGGATCTTTTTGGCAAGAGCTGCCAATGTAACAGCAACACCAGTGAGCAAGTGTCAACGTTTCCAAGTAGGAAGTACCTCAAGAACTCATAGCACCATGTGATGTGGGCCTCGGTACCTCTGTTGAGTTAGGAAACTAAAAAGTTTCTTTCCAATGAAAAGGAAATGTCTTTGTTCTTTTTACATATGTGCAGAATACCCTTCATGCATTTGAGTTATGCCAGAATTTCTTGAGTTCTTGGAATGAGGGGAAAAAGTGGCAAAATAACCTCCTAATCCTGTGAAAAAGAGGCTTTGGTTTTGGATGAAAGTAGGAACCAAGCGTAGAATAATTTAATTTGTACAAAGACCTAGTTTTTCCTAGCTGAAAGACCTTCGCAGCCTATTGACCTAAGATTGAAAATCATAGCCATGGGAAAACAACTTTCCATGAGAAGTATTACAAAATATAATATAATATTAATATTAAAAGGGGCAAAACATGATATATCAAAGCATTTTAGACTGTGCAGAAGTGCAGGTTGAACTGTATTATGTCACTGACAGAGAGGTTAAGCAGACTCATCTGAGGAACAGCCTCCCATGAGGATGAAAGTCCTAGTCCTTGCTTCTGAGGGCCTTTCCATGCAGTCATATAACCCAGAATATTAAGGCAGATAATCTACAATATCTGCTTTGAACTTAATTGAGTCCACACTGCCGTATAATCCAGTTCAATGTGGATTTTATACAGCTGTCTGGAAGGGTACTGAGGGAGAAAATAAATTATTGCTGTGTGATCAACTGACAGATCATGATGGTTTGACTAAGAGCAGTTGACTTTGCATAGCAGGGGGTTGGACTAGATAGTGTCTTCCAACATTTTGATTCCATTGAGGGGAATTGCTGTATGTGTAGTTAAAGGTAAAGGTTTTCCCCTGACATAAAGTCCAGTCGTGTCCCACTCTGGGGTGTGGTGCTCATCTCTATTTCTAAGCTGAAGAGCCGGCGTTGTCCATAGACACCTCCAAGGTCACATGGTTGGCATGACTGCATGGAGCGCCGTTACCTTCCTGCTGGAGTGGTACCTATTGATCTACTCACATTTGCATGTTTTTGAACTGCTAGGTTGGCAGAAGCGGGGGCTGACAGCGGAAGCTCACGCCGCTCTCCAGATTCAAACCTGCGACCTTTTAGTCAACAAGCTCAGCAGCTCAGTGCTTTAACCCAGTGTGCCACCAGGGACTCCTAATTTAGGACAAATGCCAAGTGTAAAAAAACAGGGTGGGTAGCAGTCCCCGATGGCGCAGTGGGTTAAAGCACTGAGCTGCTGAGCTTTTGACCGAAAGGTCACAGGTTCGATTCCGGGGAGCGGCATGAGCTTCCGCTGTCAGCCTTAGCTTCTGCCAACCTAGCAGTTTGAAAACATGCAAATGTGAGTAGATCAATAGGTACCGCTCTGGCAGGAAGGTAACGGGACTCCATGCAGTCATGCCGGCCACATGATCTTGGAGGTGTCTATGGACAATGCCAGCTCTTTGGCTTAGAAATCGAGATGAACACCACACCCCAGAATCAGACATGACTGGACTTAATGTCAGGGGATAACCTTTACCTTTTTACTAGCAGTCACCTATCTCCTCACAGTGTTAAGCCACAGACAGTACCTGTAAATATATGCCTGATTTTGAAAATAGTGCATTGTTAAGACTTAAAACAGAGGGTGCCTGTTTCCTTTGATTCTACATGACATGTGTACAGGATGATTTAGGTAGAAATCCCCTTTATTTTTAGACCATGTTTTTGAGTCTTACGATAGTAAAGACAGTTGCTGATGTGGATGAATGCAAGGGCTTTGTCCTTCCCAGTGGCACCAACCTTGGATACTCCTTATTACTCATGCCCTGTCCACTCCCCCTTACTATCTATTCTAGAGCATTGCTGAAAGCACAAAGCAGACTCAAGGTTGAGAAAGTTGCCGTTTTTGTTGTTAGATTAGACTGTTGTTGCTGAAGAGATAAGAAGCAAAGAGGGTCAAGAGAAAAACATAATGTATTGGGCATTAGGCAAAAAAAGAAGACTGGCCTTACCAGGGATTGCTCTCACTAGAAGTTGCTCCTCAAAAGTCTGTACCATTCCTGCCTATCGGGGTGAGAGAGATGCTTAGGGGGTGCTTAGCCTTTCACTGCTGAAAAATTGTGAACTCATCCCATGAATCACAAATGCTGATTTATATCAGGATCTAGACACCAGAAAGTTTTGTTGAACTACGTGGATGAAAACTTTAATATCAGATTACTGAATTAGATTATTGTGTTGCAACTTTTGGCTCAATTACATCATAGTGAATTCAAAATGAGAAACAGGAAAATACATGATTGGAGTTGTAGTTTTGCTTCATAACTAGGACTAAGTGAAAACGTCCTCTCCCCGCTCCCGTAGAAACAGTCTCACTCTAGTTCCAGTGAATGCGGAAGCAAACCTGAAGGCTGATCCTTCAGAATAAATCACAACCACAAAAACACTAATGGAAGTTTGCAATTTTTTTCAGGCCTGGCTGGGTCATGTTTAGCTCGATTCAGTACAATGCCTTTTCTCTACTGCAATCCTGGTGATGTCTGTTACTATGCAAGTCGCAATGACAAATCCTACTGGCTCTCGACAACAGCCCCTCTTCCCATGATGCCTGTGCAAGAAGAAGATATCAGACCTTACATCAGCCGCTGCACCGTTTGTGAAGCACCAGCTGTCGCTATAGCTATTCACAGCCAGGATACAACTATCCCGCACTGCCCTGAAGGATGGCGGAGTTTATGGATTGGTTACTCCTTCATTATGGTATTGGCTTATTTTAATGTTTAGTATAGAACCTTTTGAAAAATGCATTGATAACTTGACTTTTTGCCGGGAAATCCCCATGGTGTCATGTTTAAAGGTGTGAAGGGGTCCACCAGTGCTTCACTGAAGCAGGCCTGCAGTGTCAGTTTCTCCTGAATTATTTGGTGGGCCTTCTGCCATGAATGGAGGCTTTTGTGGTGGAGGCTCCTTCTTTGGAGGCTTTTAAGCAGAGGCTGGATGGCCATCTGTCGGGAGTGCTTTGAATGTGATTTTCCTGCTTCTTGGCAGGGGATTGGACTGGATGACCCATGAGGTCTCTTCCAACTCTATGTTTTTATGAATGGATACACCAAATCAAAGCAAGGAGCCCCTGGTGGTGCAGTGGGTTAAACTCCTGTGCCGGCAGGACTGAAGGTTCAAATCTGGGGAGAGATGGATGAGCTCCCTCTATCAGCTCCAGCTCCTCATACGGGGACATGAGAGAAGCCTCTCACAAGGATGATAAAAAAAATCAAATCATCCGGGCGTCGCCTAGGCAACGTCCTTGCAGACGGCCAATTCTCTCATACCAGAAGCAACTTGCAGTTTCTCAAGTCGCTCCTGACACGACCAAAAAAAAACAAAGCACAACCAAATCAAAGCCATTTAAATCCACAAGCATGTGGACAATTTCAACAGAAAGGAAAAAATCATGAAAATGAACAAAATCTGGCTATTGGTATTTAAAAACTCTAAAATCAAACCAGTAAATAAATAACAACAGTAAAAAAGGGGGGGGGGATTCCAGACAAGAAACAATCAGAGCCAGCTAGTTGCCTCCCAACGAAGGATTCCCCCAGGCAGTGAAAGCCATACCTTGGAACTGCTGGGCTATTAAATGCTAATCAAGGTGGCCAGTTGAAACATTCACATCTAGCTCCAACACACAAGAGTTCTTTCTCCCACCATGGACATTCCACAGATATTTAAACCCCATTTTTTTAGTTTCCAACAGACCTCACAACTACTGAGGTTGCCTGACATAGGTGCATGCAAAACGTCAGGAAAGAATGCTTCTGAAGCATGGCTATACAGCCCAGAAAACTCACAACAATCAAGTGATTCTAGCCATGAAAGCCTTGGACAATACTTCCCAAGTTGCCAAGTTGATGAAGAGGTTTGCCAAAATCTGTACCAAAGACAATAGAAGCATTCATCTGCCAGGGTCTGGAGTTACTGGCTGGCCTTGGTTGCCTAATGAAAACTCATTTCTGCCAGTGCCCCACTCCCACTTTGGGGGGCTGTGGCCACTTTTGGAACAGGGCGTAGAGGGTTATTCCCTTGCCCTTGACCCTCTCCAAAACAAACTATTGTTGTAGATGTATAGACTTCATGAAACATACAAAACCTCCCTCTTTCACTTGGATAAAAATTCTGAGAAAAGAAGCATACTGAAGTTGCAAAACAAAGAGTTGCTTATGGTAGGAAAGGAGATGAATAGGTACAAAGTTTTTAGTAAATAACCCAGTATTATCATGTGATTGGAAACAACGTAGCTGTAATTACACACCCAAGTAAGATTTCACCAGCTTCTACCATTCACCAAAAGCTGGAACTGTTATCAGTCTCTTTTAAAAATCCAGAACAGCAACATGTTGGAAATATACCATGCTTAGTCAGACGTTACTATATAGGCAGCCGAGGTAGGAATCCCCACTAACTAGCATACCGTCAGTATGCTAGGAATAAATAATTCCTTTAATTTCCTACAGGTATGCTTATTAAACATGCCCAGCATGTTTTGTAACATGCTGGGCATTTGGTCATATTCAACCACATTGGCACGTGTCATTATTTCCCCTAAAATAAGCAGGACTAATCTGCTTTTGGGTGTTGCATTTTTGCCAAAAAGCCAAGCTTATTATGTTAATCAGAATGGAATCTGTTCTCTGGTGCCTTCTTAGCATCTCACCTTCACAACAGTTGTTGGGATTTATAGTTCACCCACAGTGAAATAGTATTCTCAACCCCACCGATAGAATTGGACCAAACTTTCCACACAGAACCGCCATGATCAACAGAAAATACTATGTTTTCTGATGGTTTTTGGTGACCCCTCTGACGCCCCCTCACGACCCCCACAGGGGTCCCGACCCCCAGGTTGAGAAATAGTGGGCTATGTATTCTGGGCTACGAGGCAACTCATTCAGAGGTTCTGGGGACAGCAGGGGGAAACATGCAGCCCCTGAGCAGAGAATAGAATATTCTTTCTCTCTATAGTGGTTTTCCTTTTCCATCAGCCACAAAGAGTCAAAAGGGACATACATGAACAGGGAAACTGATTTCACACCTAGTTCACCTGCATGCATGTCATACACACATACACCTCTTTTTGGGAGTCAGGATTATATTAGGCAGCAGATACTATTTATTAGAGCTTTCCCTTCCTGTACACTTTAATCTGAAGGCAATGCTGGACTGCCAGTGTTTGTTTCTACAGAGTAGCACTTCATTCCCTAACAAACAGAAAAAATATGATGCCAACATCATCCAGTGAATAGAAAAACACAATGGAAAGCAAGATAGGCCTTTTGTTATCTTTAGAAACCAATTTTTTCTAGGCCCTCAAACTTTATATAATGAAGATGGAAGATTCTGGTTCCTCAATATGTTGCAATAGTTGACTGGAATAAGTGTATTGTCGAAGGCTTTCATGGCCAGAATCACTGGGTTGTTGTAGGTTTTTTGAGGCTATATGGCCATGTTCTAGAGGCATTTTCTCCTGACGTTTAGCCTGCATCTTTGACCTCACTACATCTGAGGATGCTTGCCATAGGTGCAGGTGAAACGTCAGGAGAGTATGCCTCTAGAACAGTGGTTCTCAACCTGGGGTCCCCAGATGTTCTTGGCCTACAACTCCCAGAAATCCCAGCCAGTTTACCAGCTGTTAGGATTTCTGGGAGTTGAAGGCCAAAAACACCTGGGGACCCAAGGTTGAGAACCACTGCTCTAGAACATGGCCATATAGCCCGAAAAAACCTACAACAACCCAGTTGACTGGAATACTTACTGAGATTCACACATATTGAACAAACTGGCTTCTCAACTCTTCCTAGGCCCATTCTCTGATCCCTACTATGAATTTTCAGCAGACTATAAAACCACAGGAGTTGTAAGAGACCGTATAGGCCAGGGGTCCTCATACTTTTTAAACAGAGGGCCAGGTCACAGTCCCTCAAACTGTTGGAGGGCCGGATTATAATTTGAAAAAAACATGAATTCCTGTGCACGCTGCACATATCTTATTTGTAGTGCAAAAAATACTTTTAAAAATGCAATAATTAAAATGAAGAACAATTTTAACAAATATAAACTTCTTAGTATTTCAATGGGAAGTGTGGGCCTGCTTTTGGCTGATGAGATAGGATTGTTGTTGTTGTTGTTGTTGTTGTTGTGTGCTTTCAAGTCATTTCAGACTTCAGTTGACCTTGAGTGAGGGCCGGGTAAAGGACTTTGGAGGGCCGTATCCGGCCCCCGGGCCTTAGTTTGAGGACCCCTGGTATAGGCTGTCTGATGCAGGAAAAGCATAATTAAAGCATCCCTGACAGATGGCCATCCAGCCTCTGTGTAAAATCCTCTACAGAAGGAGCCTCCACTACATTCCTAGGCAGAGAATTCCACTGCTGAACACCTTAGTAAGGAAGTTCTTCCTAATGTTCAGGTGGAATCTCCTTTCCTGTCATTTGAACCCATTGCTCTGAGTCCTAGTTTCCAGGGCAGCAGAAAACAAGCCTGCTCCATCTTCCTTGTGACATCCTTTCGGATATTTATACATGGTCATTGTGTCTCCTCTCAACCTTCTCTTCTGCAGGCTTAAAGGGCTTGTCTTCCTCTTTCTGTCCCAGGAAACCATCTGTCTACCAAAAATGTTAAGTCTGTCCAGCGTCTAGTTACACCAGAAGCAGCTCTTGTGTGCCCCTAATGTAAATCATACACTTTAAAAAAATGATAGGAGGCAGAATAGAGTTCTCTAATACCAAGTTCAGTCTGACAGTGTCATTTCAGTTTCCGTACTAATCGTATCTTGCATTGAAAGTGGTTTCTTTCTGGTTTCTTCTAGCACACTGCAAGTGGTGCTGAAGGTGGGGGGCAGTCCCTCGTTTCTCCAGGGAGCTGCCTAGAAGACTTCAGAGCCACCCCATTCATTGAATGCAATGGCGCTCAAGGGACCTGCCACTACTTTGCAAATAAATACAGTTTTTGGCTGACGACCATCGACCGTCAGTTTCAGCCGTCACCCTCGCCAGATACACTCAAGGCTGGACTCATCCGAAGACACATAAGCAGATGCCAAGTCTGTATGAAGTATTTGTAAAATAGGGCACTCCCATGTTCAAATGGCAAGGGACAAACATTGGTGCTTATTTAACTTATTACCTCAAAGTCTGAACAAGAAGTTGGTTTTCTGGAATAACAAAGCATTGCAAATGCCAACAGCAAATTATATTTTCTACTATCACTCACATTATTAATTAACTAGCTTTTGTACTGATGCAAATAGTAGACTTCTCTTGAAACAATAGAATTGAATAAAACTTCTGCCTGTTATGACCGACTTACGTCAACCAAATGCTGTAATTTAATTCTTCTGTGTACTTACCACTGAAAAAAATAACCCTAAGCCATTATTCATAATCACTGAATAGTAACCACTAAAATGAAAGTGCAAACCATACAGGGAATGGCTCAGAAAGCTAAAGATAATTATTATATACTGTATTAAAACAGCAGAAAAGCTACAATCCAATTTCTCAATGACCATATTTTCTCGTTGAAACATTTTGGCTGGAGTTTAGGACAAGAGAGAAGCATGTCAGAAGGGCTATTAGTTTAACTAGGTTTTGAAACATGTTTCCAGTTACAGTTTGTGCTACAACTTCATTTAAGATTCATTATTGTTGTTTTTCTAAATAGTATGTTACCTCATATGCTGTGTACCTTCACTAGCCTACAGAACATTAATAAACTTTGCCTCCCCGCCCCATACTCTTTACTGAAAATGCTGGTGAAGATCTATCAATCAAACCTGGCTTGGCTTTCATGTAAGCATACATAAGGCTGCAGAATAATTCAGGCTCCATTCCCAGTCTTTTTCCCAATGTTCAGAAGCGGAACAAAAAGATATACATTTAGAATTACAACATAATGAGAATACAAAAATCCCCTCGACTAGACTTCAGTTTCAGTTGCAATTTGGCAACAAATGCTTCTGTCTCTTACTTTGAGGCCCCCGAAATTACACAATTGGGCTTCGAAAAAGGGGCACTCAGCTACACTTTAATCTGAGGTCTGTGTTCATTTACACTTGTGATCCACAAGTTTGATTTTGTACCATTAATAAAATACTTTGTTTTAAACTGTTATTCCTGTTTGATGTTATGCAAGCTGGTTGGAATCCAGTTGGTTAGCCCATTGGATCAATTGCTGAAGAATGAGTCGACACATTGGTAAGTTCCACTGATTTAATGGGTCAATTTATGATGGAAAGCTGATAAATATTCTGATTTGAAGAAATAAATGCTCCATTAAGCCAAAGTCTAAAAAGATAAATAAAAACATTTCATGTAACTTCTCTTTTTGAGTGTGGATGGATGAAAGAGACACTTTACAATTTGGGGAGGGGGGCTGCAATGCATCATGGTTTGTGATTATGTACTTTGGGCTCGGCCTCATGTAAGCCGCACCGAGTCCTGCGGGAGATGGTAGTGGGGTACAAATAAAGGATTATTATTATTATTATTATTATTATTATTATTATTATTATCATGGGCCACATGCAGTTCCCAGAGACATATTTCTAGCCTCCAGCATCTCCCCCCACCCCCCCCAAAAGAATTTAAGTATTTTTCTCAATTTGTTTTGCCCCAAATACCTTCTAGAGGGCATGGGGGCATTTTATCCATGTTTATTTTTGGAAGGGCACTTGTTTTAGGATCAGAAAAGGTATTTTTAATTTTTTTAAAAAACAGAAATATATTGGACATGATCTGTTTTGAAATGTCTCTCTTCTAGACCTAAAATTGGAGGGGGGGGGTTAAAACATGGCAAAAATGAGGAAGTTGGGAAAGAGTTGGTGTTTTTTGGTGGTAGATATGAGTGTTCAGTTCCCCAAGGTCTACTATGGGACGATTACTAGAAGAAAGATTTCAGTCATCATTAGGAAAGTCACTGGATCTCCCCAATTGTTCTGATTACTAAACTGTACTTCAACAATTTAGTAATTAGAATCATAGAATCATAGAATCAAAGAGTTGGAAGAGACCTCATGGGCCATCCAGTCCAACCCCCTGCCAAGAAGCAGGAATATTGCATTCAAATCACCCCTGACAGATGTCCATCCAGCCTCTGTTAAAAGCTTCCAAAGAAGGAGCCTCCACCACACTCCGGGGCAGAGAGTTCCACTGCTGAACGGCTCTCACAGTCAGGAAGTTCTTCCTCATGTTCAGATGGAATCTCCTCTCTTGTAGTTTGATGCCATTGTTCCGCGTCCTAGTCTCCAAGGAAGCAGAAAACAAGCTTGCTCCCTCCTCCCTGTGGCTTCCTCTCACATATTTATACATGGCTATCATCTCTCCTCTCAGCCTTCTCTTCTTCAGGCTAAACATGCCCAGTTCCCTAGGCCGCTCCTCATAGGGCTTGTTCTCCAGACCCTTGATCATTTTAGTCGCCCTCCTCTGGACACATTCCAGCTTGTCAATATCTCTCTTGAATTGTGGTGCCCAGAATTGGACACAATATTCCAGGTGTGGTCTAACCAAAGCAGAATAGAGGGTAGCATGACTTCCCTAGATCTAGACACTATGCTCCTATTGATGCAGGCCAAAATCCCATTGGCTTTTTTTGCCGCCACATCACATTGTTGGCTCATGTTTAACTTGTTGTCCACGAGGACTCCAAGATCTTTTTCACACGTATTGCTCTCGAGCCAGGCGTCCCCCATTCTGTATCTTTGCATTTCATTTTTTCTGCCAAAGTGGAGTATCTTGCATTTGTCACTGTTGAACTTCATTTTGTTAGTTTTGGCCCATCTCTCTAATCTGTCAAGATCGTTTTGAATTCTGCTCCTGTCCTCTGGACTATTGGCTATCCCTCCCAATTTGGTGTCGTCTGCAAACTTGATGATCCTGCCTTCTAGCCCTTCATCTAAGTCATTAATAAAGATGTTGAACAGGACCGGGCCCAGGACGGAACCCTACGGCACTCCACTTGTCACTTCTTTCCAGGATGAAGAGGAAGCATTAGTGAGCACTCTCTGTGTTCGTCCACTTAACCAATTACAGATCCACCTCACCGTAGTTTTGCCTAGCCCACATTGGACTAGTTTCCTTGCCAGAAGGTCATGGGGGACCTTGTCGAAGGCCTTACTGAAATCCAGGTACGCTACATCCACGGCATTCCCCGCATCTACCCAGCTTGTAACTCTATCAGAAAGAGATCAGATTAGTCTGGCATGACTTGTTTTTGATAAATCCATGTTGACTATTAGCGATGACTGCATTTGTTTCTAAGTGTTTGCAGACCGCTTCCTTAACAATCTTTTCCAGAATCTTGCCCGGTATCGACGTGAGGCTGACCAGACGGTAGTTGTTTGGGTCATCCTTTTTTCCCTTCTTGAAGATTGGGACCACATTGGCCCTCCTCCAATCTGCTGGAACTTCTCCCGTTCTCCAAGAACTCTCAAAGATGGTTGCCAATGGTTCCGAAATGACTTCCGCTAGTTCCTTCAATACTCTGGGGTGTAGTTGATCTGGCCCTGGGGACTTGAACTCATTAAGAGCGGCCAGGTATTCCTGGACGACTTCTTTCCCAATTTGGGGTTGGATGTCCTCCAATCCCTCATCCACTCCATCTTGCTGAGGTTGAAGACTCTCTTTTTGTGAGAAGACCGAGGCAAAGAAGGCATTAAGTAGTTCTGCCTTTTCCCTATCCCCTGTCAGCATTGCCCCATCTTCTCCGCGAAGAGGTCCTATCGCCTCCTTGTTTTTCCTTTTTCTACTGACATAAGAATAGAAGCCCTTTTTATTGTTTTTAATGTCCCTGGCAAGCCTGAGCTCGTTTTGTGCTTTAGCCTTGCGGACCTTTTCCCTACAGGTGTTGGCTATTTTAAGAGACAACATGGTGTAGTAGTTTGGGCATTGGACTATAACTCTGGAAATCAACATTTGAATCACCATTCAGCCATAGAAACCCCCTACGGGACCTTGGACAAGTCACATGCTTTCAGCCTTGGAGAGAGACAAAAGCAACCCCTCCAAACAAGTCTTGCCAATAACACTCTGTGATAAGGTTACCATAAATCACAAATAATCTGAAAGCAGATAACAAAAGTTATTCAGATCTCATTTCACTAGTTCATTGAGAGATACCGGGTTTCTCTTCTCTTTGTCTGAATTGCATTAGAAGATCTGACCAAATGATATGGAAAGCCTTAGCTAGCAGCAAGGAAGCTATTTTTTGTAGCATGCTCTCAGCACTAAGAACTGATTCTTAGCTTTAAAACTCAGAATTATATAAAATTATATATTAAGTTTCCTGGCCTCTTGGACAGTCGCTGTAAACTATGCATTCAAAGATATAAATCACCAACACTTCCACAGTCAAGATAATTCAATTGCGTGTTTAAAAAAAAAACCTTAAATTAATCAACAATATTTCAATTTCAGAAGATCTATCTGGCAATAGGGCTTTTGCATGTTCCTCATCAATATCCCAGTTACTGCCATAATTTCTTTGTTGTCTACCATAACACAGGCCTCAATGCTCACCCAAGCCTTAATGTGATCCTGTCTTGGAATCAGTTTCAAAGACTGATACTCAGTTCTGAACAAATATCTGCAATAATGCCGTTGGGTAAGTACAGAACAAATTTCCCTCACCAATACATAGGATTTAAACTTAAGACAGAAGGTATGTTTTTCATTAGGAAGAACTTTGTAACATTAGGAGTGGGTTGATAGTGGAATAGACTGGTGGATTCTTTTCAGTGTATATTTTTAATCAGAGGGTTGATGTCCACCTCTCAGGGGTGTTGGGTTGTGAATTTTCTGCCTCTCCAGGGTCTGGACAACAAGACCTTCAGAATTCCTTTCAACACTAGAACTCTGGTCCGCTTTAAGCCAATAATTTCTCAGGGCAGTAATTACAGTTTCCACTTTGCTACATAAAAGCAATTATGACAAGTAAGTAGAAAAGTAATAAAAAGCCAACAACGCAGATTAAAACTGAACAATTTCCCATCAACATTATGAATTTTCTTCCCCTTATGTCCATCTTTGGTCACAGAAATATAAACAGATTTTTCACCTAACAATAAATGTATTTCTAGTTAAATTAATAGTGGATAAAATATTTAGTACCTTTATGATATTACCCCTTGCTTTCTCCTTCTGCAAGGCAAGGGTACATATTTGTTTATGGTAGGGGTGGTATTAGTCTGGGGCAAATTTCTTTTGGTTGTGCAGACACACTCTGTATGAAACTTTTCTTTCCTAAAAAGTACTTCTGAATAGCAACTCTTACTTGATATTTTTTTAAAAAATGGAAAAATAGCAACATGCTATTTCAAACAGAGAAAGTGGACATGGAGATCATCAGGCAGAAGAGAAACACACCTTTAATTGGGAGAAATCACAATGAACTTGTCTTAAGGCACCATGTATGGAGGATTTACTTAAAAATCAAACTATGCTCCAAGTTCCCAATCACCTAAAGCTTTGTCTCTGTTCAGTGTCATAGATCTATTCTACAAAAAATGTCATTTGTCTAATTGACCTTGACATTCTTGCACTGTAGCCTTCACCAACTTCAGTGATTACACTCTTCAAATTAGTGTGGACCAATCACGTTCATTTTTTTATCTGCAGCAGACAAACTGTGTGTTTTTTGTTGTCTTGTAACTGTTTAAATCAACAGTTTGTGGCAAACCTTCTGCTTTGTGCTGCAAAATTACTGGCACCACCATCTCAAATACAGTTTCAAACAGGCAATCTACATTATAGCCTGTTTTCGCACTGGTTTCGAAGCACATTTTTTCTGCAGCTGGGACATTCTTCTCATCCAACATTTTGTATTTTAGGATTTTCTTATAAAGTGCAATGGCGTCATCTACATGAACTTGTTTTTTCATCTTGGTAGACATGACACTGTTGTTGGGTTTCTCCGATGGATTATTGTCCTCTGTTTCGTGGAGAAAGGCATATGTATCTGTGAGGTCCACTTTGTTCCCGACAATAGCAAAGATGCAGTCTGAATTGGCCGTGTCTGTTAAGGCAAGGAACCTGTCCTCCAGTTCCACCATGCTCTGCAAATTCGTGACATCGTAGGTAAGGATGACAGCTGCTGCTCCTCGGCAGTACATGGACCCAAGGCCATGAAACTGTTCACGACCTAGAAGAGAGGAACAGAAAAAGGTCTATGGAATACAGACTGTGTATTAAAAATGAAATACCTTCAATACAATCTGCAAAACAGTTCATTTCCTTCTACAGCATCTTGCAAGTATCACAGAATGAGACTATGAAAAGGATTTTCAACCATAAATCTCATATATCATATGACTAGGACATACAGAACTGGGCAAGGGTAGTATTTCTGCCACAGAAACCAGTTCCTCCACTCCCAATGTTCAAATGTAATATTTTGCCCAAGAGGTCATTCATTCAAATCCATTGGCTGAGCTATCCACTAAGAAAGTAAAGCCAATTTGTAATAAACACCCTTCAAATTAGGAAAAGAGTCCCCCAGCCGAGTCCCTAGATCAGTGGTTCTCAACTTTTCTAATGCCGTGACCCCTAAATAAAGTTTCTCATGTTGTGGTGACCCCCAACCATATTTTCGTTGCTACTTCATAATGGTAATTTTGAAGCATAATGGAAATATCTGAAATGCAGGATGTATTTTCATTGTTACAATTTTTTTGTCGTGTCAGGAGTGACTTGAGAAACTGCAAGTTGCTTCTGGTGTGAGAGAATTGGCCATCTGCAAGGACGTTGCCCAGGGACGCCCGGATGATTTGATGTTTTAGCATCCTTGTGGGAGGCTTCTCTCATGTCCCCGCATGAGGAGCTGGAGCTGATAGAGCGAGCTCATCTGCCTCTCCCCGGATTCGAACCTGCAACCTTCAGTCCTGCCGGCACAGGGGTTTAACCCGTTGCGCCACCGGGGGCTCCTATTGTTACAAATTGAAGCATAGTGACTGATCACAAAAACAATATGCTTGGGAAGTATGGACAATGGATGATGGGATTTGCAGTACCTTCAACCGATTCACCTCTGAGTTCCACAGACCACTGAGACCCCCACAAATTATAGACCTGGAACAAATTTGGCACAAAGAACCCCAATGACTAACAGAAAATACTGGAGGGGGCTGGGAGGAATTGACAATGACTTACGGGAGATGTAGTTCACCTACATATGGAGAGCGCTGTGAACCCAAACGACTGTACATTTGGACCCAACTTGGCACAAATACTCAATATGCCCAAATATGAATAATGGTGGAGGTTGGGGGAAACAGATCTTGACATTTGGGAATTGCAGTTGCTGGGAAAGGCACAGGGGCCGCACGGAAAGGCTGCCCAAATGGCAAGGCCGTGCAGGCAGCCCTCAGCCTGGCCTCTGCGCCCTTCCAAGCTCAGAAAGGCACATGGGCCAGGCGGAAAGGCAAGCCTTCCGCGCATGCCTATTCCTGCAAGCTCCTCCTCTTGCCACCCCACAGCCCTGTGGGAAGAGCAGAAGGAGGAGCTGACCAGGAGTGCTAGCTTTTTGCCTGGCACAGGGGGTCGGCAGCCACTTTGGCCAGGGCGGGCCTCACGACCCCCAGAAAATGGCCCAATGACCCCCCCTAGGGGTCGCGACCCCCAGGTCGAGAACCGCCGCCCTAGATCAACTTTCTATGTAAATCTGCTCTGCAAAGGAGGGAGGCAAAGTCCCATCTAGGAGGAACTTGAGTGATCTTATCACAGGGTGGGTGCAACATGGCTAAGCGGAGAGCCAAGATGCTTCCTTGACTTCTTTCTTCACAGAATGAGGAAGACTAAACTTAGCAAAGCAGGGCAGGATAGCAAAGAAGAACTCTATTCCACCAAAGTCCCTTGAAGAAGAGGAGTCCCAAATGGAAGAAAGGGTATCACTGCTCAAGTCTTTCCATGACAAACGTGTATTTTCTGGGATGAATATCGGATGCTGATAATCAAAGGGAAGCAGGGAAGAAATCCACTTTTTTCGTGTCCAGAGTAACTTGAGAAACTGCAAGAACAATTTGAACAAATATAAACTTATAGGAAGTGTGGACCTGCTTTTGGCTGATGTGATAGGATTGTTGTTGTGTGTTTTCAAGTCATTTCAGACTTAGGCGGACCCTGAGAGAGGGCCAGGTAAATGACCTTGGAGGGCTGTATCCGGTCCCCGGGCCTTAGTCTGGTTTAACCCATTGTGCCACCAGGAGCTACACTGGATTTAAATGAACGTGAGAAGGGATACCCGCAGCACAGCAGAAGTCTCATAACAGACAGAAAGTGTTCTAGGGATAGTAACAAACACAAAACACCCAAAGGAAAGTAGATTGTGGAAGATGCATTCCTGTATGGACTCAAAGCAATGCATCAACTTTCGTAAGCTGTCCAAACTCCCAGTCATGAAACCAGGCTGGAGTTGGGCACAGGGTCAGAGCCAATATGCTGGAAAGAGATCAAACTCAACTGAATAAATAGACATCTTTAACTTTCTTAAGGAAGCCACTTATAGGTAAGGGTAAAAGTTTTCCCCTGACATGAAGTCCAGTCGTGTCCGACTCTGGGGTGTGGTGCTCATCTCCATTTCTAAGCCGAAGAGCCGGTGTTGTCCGTAGACACCTCCAAGGTCATGTGGCTGGCATGACTGCATGGAGTGCCCTTACCTTCCTGCTGGAGCGGTACCTATTGATCTACTCACATTTGCATGCTTTCAAACTGCTAGGCTGGCAGAAGCTGGGGCTGACAGTGGAAGCTCACGCTGCTCCCTGGATTCGAACCTGTAACCTTTCAGTCAATAAGCTCAGCGCTTTAACACACTGCACCACCAGGGGTAAGCCACTTATAGCAGTATATATATATATTGCAGGTAGGCAGGGCATTTTCCATTCTCTTGCCTGCCATTCCTTCCATCCCATTCTTTCTCCCACTCAAGAATGACTTCCAGCAATAATCGCCTCCTTGTGCCACAACTCAAGCTTACTTCATTCAGCCTTTTCCATGCCCATAAGCTCACAAAAGCTGTATGCCAGGGTCAAGCAACCTGCCACACATACTTTGCAAAGCCTCAGAGGACATGTTTTGGAGTCCCAATATTCATCAAACTTTGACTTTTTTTTTTTTACTTAAAAGAGCTCCTGCATTCTGTGATTACACAAACCACATTAAGGGCATGATGTGCATTGAGGGCTTTCTTTCGCACACTTTGGTAAGAATTTGTTGTCTGGCTGCAGCTTGGAGCTAGCATTAAATGATCAGTATATCTAAGGGCACAGAAAGAAGGAACTAAAACTAAGGCGAAGTTGCATGAACCCTGTGCACTAGAAAGCAGGGAAACTCCTGGATTTGTATGAATACACTGACGATTAAGAGCTGTATTAGTCTTGTGAGTCACGTGGGTTTGTGTGGTTTATCATGCCCATTTTATATGATGCTATTAACTAGTTGTTTACATACTGAAATTAGTCTTTTCTCCCCATTTTACTTTCCTTGATATAGCTTTTTCTTCTCAGTAACTTAATGTTGTTCTTAATGTTTTAGAAGAACTGTTGATTACTTTTGTTTATCAATTTAGGATTTCAATTATCATTTGGTGGTTTGGCAACAACTATATGCTTGCTTCTTACAAATGTCTGGATCTGAATTACTGGATCTGAATTACCTCGTCTTCGTTGGTGGCACATAGAGACCACAATAAACATTTCATTCTAACCCAGAGGGTGAACATTAAAAACGAGCAAATCTGTTTGTAAATTGAAGATATTGTACATCTATATGACACCCAATCTGATATAATGTCTAATAGCAGACTATGATTTGGGGGACCTGGATTGAAGTCACCATGAAATTTACTAAGCCTCAATCACTGTCGAAATCCAACATATATCACAGGATTATAATGAAGACAGAATAAAAGTGGAGAAAGCCACATTTGCTGTAGGGATAAAAGTTAAATCTGTTCTGTGTTTACAGCATTAGGCTCTTCTTTAGCATTTTTAGACTGTAATATTTCTGCACAGTAAAGCAGAATCTCTAACTATTGCCACATCCCACTTCCTGCTTCCTTTGGCCCAGAAAACTATGTAACTGCATTTGTACTATTATTTCAGTTTGCTCATTGGAGCCACGGTGGCGCAATGAGTTCAACCCTTGTGCAGGCTGAACTGCTGACCTGAAGATCTGAAAGTCAGCGATTCGAATATGGGAGATGTGGTGAGCTCCCATCTGTCAGCCCCAGCTTCCCATGCAGGGACATGGAAGAAGCTTCCCACATAGTGTTAACACATCCAGGCATCCCCTAGGCAACGTCCTTGCAGACAGCCGATTCTCTCACACCAGAAGCAACTTGCAGTATATTCGCAATTTGCTTCTGATAGAAACTGACTAGTTATCAGGTCGGGCTGTGTGGAAGAGCCCTAAAAGAGAGGACCAGTAGCACCAGTAAAGGGATTCTGCTGCCATCTCTGAGGACCCTTCCACACAGCCCTGTATCCCAGACTATCAAGGCAGAAAATCCCACAATATCCGCTTTGAATTGGCTTATCTGAGTTCACACTCAGATAATGTGGGATTTTCCGCCTTGATATTGTGGATACAGGGTGCGTGGAACGGCCCTGAGAGGGAGCAAACAGCAAGTAACACATGCTAGAAATGGGAGGGGGGGGGGGGCGAAAAGACAAGTTCCTATGCTACTTGGTTTTCTGTTTATTGCCTTCAGGAACACTAACACCCTATTCGGATCTTCTCCAATGTCACATCTAAATATTTGGAAAGATAAAATTAATTGGCTGAAGATCTGATGTATTGCGGTATGCAAGCTTTGAACTGTTTGAATTGCAACTCGGCTTTGACTCATTTTACAATTGCATTTATTTACTTATGCTGCCTAAATTACAAAACTATCCAACTGTTTGTACTGTATTAGACAGCTGTATAAAAGAGTTAATTTTATAACTTCTGTATACAGTTTTATAACATTGAATAAACAGTTTGAAAGCTTTGTTTCAAAGTAGACTTTATCTTGGCAAAAAAAAGTTATACATGAAGTCACTGTAATTATTTCTACTCCTTCTATCTTCAATAATCCCAAAGCTGTTGCTTTGTATTAGTATAACAATAAAATTCAACCAAAAAAAACAGCACAGTACTCCTATT